CGTTTTCGCACCCAGACACTAGATTTGAACATATACACATCGATATTGTAGGACCACTGCCCGTTTCAAATGGATACAACTATATCTTTACATGCATCGACAGGTTTACACGATGGCCGGTAGCAGTACCGATAAAAGACACCTCAGCTGAAACGGTAGCCAAAACCCTAGTTGAAAATTGGATTTCTTACTACGGTGTACCAACGATTATCACAACTGATAGAGGAGCACAATTCGAAAGTCGACTCTTTCAGCAGCTTACAGAACTCCTCGGTATTAAACGAATCCGAACGACATCGTACCATCCAATGGCAAACGGAATGGTCGAACGCCTACATAGGCAATTAAAAGCGTCCCTTACAGCCGTCATCGTTAACAACGATTGGTCTAATAAACTTCCCTAGTAATGTTAGCTCTAAGAGCAACAATTAAACAAGACATGGGATGTTGTCCAGCCGAGTTAGTTTACGGAACTACTCTACGATTACCCGGAGAATTTTTCACTTCAAGTAAAAGTGTCCCGACTGATGTAACCGGCTATGTGCAACGCCTGAGAAAGCACATGAGCGATTTAAAAATAACACCTCCCAGACCACAACAACGACGAGTATTCATACCACAGGAACTACATAACAGCACTCACGTATTCATTAGAAGAGATAAAGTACAACCACCTCTTCAACCGAGTTACGACGGCCCATTTAAAGTGATAGAGAGGACAAATAAAACGGTTACCATAGAAAAAGCTGGGAAGACAGATGTAATTAGCATCGATCGAGTAAAGCCAGCTTTCATCGATAGCGATAATCAATCAACAAGTACAGACTCATCTAAGATGGTCACACCAGCGAAACACGAGTCCCAAAAATCAACGACGTTAACGCAACAAAAAGACAAGACTCCGATAACAACAAGATCTGGCCGCAGAGTAAGATGGCCCCAACATTATGTCGCTACAATTTTTATTAATAATGATCTACTATTTTAAATATTAATTATAACTTCTACTTCATTGTATACACATGCATTATTAAGCTCATGTTATACGCTATAAAACTCAACGTATCTTATGTACCCTTACACTTATGCGTATAATTTTTGTTTAAAATGTAAAGACAATACCGCATTCCTTCTATTTCTTGCTATTATTTTATGTAACCTCACGGACGGGCACAAACCAAATGTACAGCACACACTAACTTCATCTTAATTTTGTATAAGCCATTTTTTCAAACAATTGAACTACCCTATTCAGTCTACTATTTTTTTGTGCAAACACAGACATTTTCCATATATCTTTGTTTGCAGGGGGGAGCTATTATAGCGACTCACGTGCAAATGGGTTTATTCTCATTTAACTCAGTTAAGCCCTTTTGCTAACTTATTTAGCGGACAAAGCCATCCGCACTATAACAATTTATTGTACCCTTATTATTATTGTGCTTGTATGAAATACGCATGCTTGAATATTGCTTACTGCCTACGCATTTATTCACTCTGCTAGTCTTACTACTAACCGCTTATTTGATTCGATTACTCATTCATTTCACATATATATATATATATATATATATATATATATATATATATATATATATATATATATATATATATATATATATATATATATATATATATATATATATATATATCCATGTTATTCATATTCAACACACACTCTCGTCCCGCTCTTGCTCTGGCTCTCGCTCGCTTGCTTGCTTTTCGGCACAACTCTTCTATGCTTGTTTAACGCATCTGTACATTTGGATATGTGTGTGGTCTCGTAATAAACGTAATCAACGCTTCGTATCCGCCTTCTGATTAATATACCGTTGGGGCGCTATATAGAACGGTTAACACGACGAACTGTGTACGAAGTTTAAGGATTATATTGAATACCGACCACCACAGGCCTTCAAATGGAGTGCTAAGTGGTGCTTTTATTTTGTCATATCTTATTCAGACGTGCGTGCAATTGCTTAGGTCTTTAGGTATATATACGGCGCGCGATTGTTCACGAGTATTAATCGGCTTAATTTTAGACATGTGGTCCCGTAGTTGATCTACATAATTTTCTAAATTAAGTTTTTGACTGTTAGTATTAGGGTTAACAAATTCACCGGATAGTCTCAGAGTTGTTCCGAAAACCAGTTCCGCAGCTGAACACTGTGCGTCAGTTTTGACAGATCTTCATATTCCCGACATAACTAACTGTAGGAATTCTGTCCACTGATGGGGGTTTGAGTGAGATATAAGGGCGCTTTTTAGCTGACGGTGAAAACGTTCTACCATCCCATTAGCATGAGGATGATATGCAGTGCAGCGTATCCCATTGGAGCCTAGAAGTTTGGCCAAGTTATTAGATAGTTCGGATTCGAATTGCGCTCCTCTATCAGTCGTTATTGTTATGGGTGTACCAAAAATGGTTATCCAGTTCTGCATGAAAACCTTGGCTACTGTTTCCGCTGTGATATCCGCTATCGAGATGGCTATAGGGAATCTGGTAAATCGATCTATGCATGTAAAAAGATAATTAAAACCGTTTGAACGTGGTAAAGGACCTACCAAGTCGATATGCACATGTGCAAAACGTGCATCTGGTTGCGAGAAAAAACCTATGGGTGAATTTGTGTGACGATTAACCTTTGATTGTTCGCATGCTGAACACTCTCTAACCCACTTATGTACATCCTTCTGTTAATTCGGCCATATGTATCTGGTATTGATTATTTTAGTTGAAGCTTTTGCGCCAGGATGAGACAAAGAATGAAAGTTATTATATATCAACTTTCGCATATTTTCGGGAACGAAAGGTCGAGGCATTGCCTTGGTCGTGTCGCAGAAAATTAGAATACCATCGATAGGTGATGGGAACTGTTTTAAGTTAATACTTGAATTGTTTGTTTTAAGTGGGTTTTGTAATTCTAGATCCTGTTCTTGTTCGTGTCTCAACGTCTCGAAGTTTACTGTAGACTGCTGTAGCACGTTCGTTTCTAGTCTAGATAAAGCATCTGCTGCCTGATTGTCCTGACCTTTGACATGTCGGGTATCACTTGTGAGCTGTGATATATAGTCAAGGTGTCGGACCTCTCGAGGTGAGTATTTATCGGCTCTCGCTTTTAATGCATTCATTAGTGGTTTGTGATCCGCAAAGACTATAAATTCCCTGCCTTCTAACATGTGTCGTAAGTGTTTAATGGTCAGGTAGATTGCAAGAAGTTCTCACCCGAAGATAGAATACCTTATCTCTGCTGGAGTGAGTCTTTTCGAGGAGAAAGCAATTGAGTTGACACCAAATTTCCAGTGATACCAACAGGACTGCCCAGATCGTCGGGACATTTTGACCTGTCTTGTGACTTGGATCGTGGTCGTTGTGGTGACCTGCTCCTGTTTGTATGACCCATTTGCATTCTGGTGACAGCCTCAGTGAGACTCTTAACACTCGCAATGAGTCCTTCTGTGACTGGGTCTTTTGCTGGTTCTTCTTTTTGTGTGTGATTTATCGTGCGTTATCCAGTTGGAGGACCTCTTTCCATTATTTTATCGGCTATACGTGCTAAATGAGATAAGGATGTTCCAGGATTTTGTGCATCCAAACAGTGTTGGATGTAGCATGGGAGAGCTTGTATCCATCCTTGTTTTAGGACTACTTCACCCACTGTGTTATCACCCACTAAGACTTGGAGGTGACGTAAAAACTGTGACGGAGACCTATCACCTAGTGTTTCTCCTTGGAAAAGCCTTTGGATTCTTTGACTGTCTGATAATAATAAACGGTTCATTATCTCTCGTCCTAAGATGGTGTATGGTTGTGGCGATGGTGGACTTAAAATCAAGTCACGGACTTCTTTGGCGACTGAAGGAGGAAGGACAGAACACAAGTCTCTGTGGCGAATTCCTTCAGATTTGATATTGTGCCTCGTGAAATAATGCTCTAGTTGAGCAAACCACAACTCAGGATCACTAGGATCAAATTCTGGAAGTCGGGATTTTGTAGTCATAACAGTGTCTATCTCCACTGGTGACGAATCCTCCAGGTTTTGGGTTTGTATTGAGTCTGACATGAGGTATGTGACAAATATAGTACCGAAATTAGCACGAAAAATGATTACTACAACATGAATAGCTTTAGTTAAAAAAATAAACTATGTATATACCCAACTTGGTTTACGGATAACCAGAGGGTCTACGTTTGCGACTAAGTAAAGAAAATAATATTAATAACAAAAATGAGATTAAATTAGTGTTTAATAGGGCTCACCAGTTTCGTGACTCTGGGTAACCCTCATGCTATTGATAAAAGAAACCAGACAAGTCGTGAATAAGTCTTTATTTGGATCTTCGCTCAGTCACAGTCGAGCGTGGGATTATTTGTTAAGACAAACGAAGCCTCTCAACATTCAATATAGGATAATAGGAAATATAACGCCTATACAAAATAAGGCGAGTGGATACTTGAACTATACTGTATTGACATATGCTCAGTTGTTTGAGGTGAACTCTTAACCAACCAACCTAAGTTGTTACAGCCTCCTAACCGAGATATATAATATCCAATCAGCTGTGTACTCTCGAACAACCTCACCAAACAGAATATCATTTATCCTTAAGACGTTTGATTTCCTTCTGAGGCTTATGGATTACAGCGAGATGTTCGAACAGGGGGATATCATTGCTTTCAGTCTTACTTGATTGCACATTACAGTGCCTAATAACCTTACATGCATCTATAAAACTGCCGTTGTTCCATATTCCTATGATCCTAGCAAAAAACTACTTGTGACTATGATAACATAAAGTATCTGAGCAAACAACCTGTATTTACGGGTATGAGACCATCATGATTTACCATTTTTATGCAAACTTTGTTAATGACTCACTTCCTGATAAACCTGTTGTTATTTTTGTAATTATGCCTTTATCCTCAGATTTAGTTGGCTATTAGGTACCTAGAGCACGAACCAAGCTAACTTGAACTGAAAACAAATTTGATAAGTGAATTCATTCATCTAGAAAAACTTTATTCATAAATAACTAAGCAAACAGATAACTTTTTTAGTCACTAGTTTCACAGAAAATTTACAGACTATAAGTTGAAAATAAAAACACAGAAAAGTGTAACCGAACTGATTGGTAAACTGCAGATTTGCCAGCTGTAAAAATGTGAAACAAACTATTTATCTTATTTTACTTGAAGGTCGAACGATAACAAGCAGAAAATCAAAGAGATACTTGGGGAAAATAAGCAGAAGCCAGTGATTGTTGGTGATAGTTTTGATCATTAGTATAATCGACGGTTTCTATGCACTTGGTTGATAATATCTTTTGATCAAAAATATTTCGTGATTTGCCATTGCGATCGGCAAATTCTGTGGTCAATGTGTCAGGAATTTCGGGTGGGATACAAGAACCCGAATAGGGATCTATAAATGAAAACAAAACGAAAACCTTTACAAAATACTTCACAATTGTAGTTTGAATCCAAACTAATTAAGCTAAAGTGTAGGGGTATGTAGAGGAAACGAATAATCTTTATAAACTCACTCTACATATTACTTATTCATCGGATAAGGAATTGTAAATGATTCCCGACCGTTGTTGCTACCTTGACGTGGTGGTCGGGCTTGCCTATCGTGATGAAGCAACCAAGCCATACTGGCTGGAACAATTGTTCCTCAAGGTCCTACCATGTCAAACAGGTCGGTTGAAGAGCGGTAAGACTAAAAGCAACCAACCCAAGGTCCGAAGGCCAAGTCGTACTGCTGACTGTACAGAGGTGTGACAGCAGTAAGGTGTTTCCTTCAGACAACCGGCATGACAGCGATGCTGCCTTCCCACAAGGATGGGTGGGGTTAGGAAAGGTCGACTCTAAAAATGCACACCTCGCCTTATCCCACGGATATCCGTCTCCGGCGGTAAGGTCTCAATAAGTACGGAGCTAACACAAAAATTACCCATAACAAGGTCGTGTGTGACCTACCTCAAGCAGTTGTCCCTTGGGCACTGCGGTCACGCTCCCAGGTCACTAAGACCACCTCTAATCCAATTTCCTTTTCAGACACCTCCAGAAGAACCCTTTCACGATGTGGGAAACCGGGAAGTGATAAACGCCATCATACTTCTAACAGCACTCAAGACCACTGTATTCATAATCAACCTCCGTCTTCACTTCATATTATTCCTCCTACATCGACTTTCACCTCTAAACTTCCTTTTTCGGCTTCCCCCTCAAGTGTCACCATAGCCAACGATTCTAGTGCGCAGAACACTGTCCCAGGTCTACTGAAACCTTACTCCAAACTACACATTGGAGCCTTCAATGTACGCACCCTATGTCAAATCGGTCAACAGGCTTCCTTGGTTAGAACCCTAGGATCTCGTACCTTTAACGTATACTGTATCTCAGAAACACGCATACAGGATCCCAGTGTGGTCATTCACTTGACCTCACCTCGGCAACATGGAGAGCCAACGAGATACACCCTCCATGTATCTGGTGGCCCGATGGCCAGCTCTCGTGGACTGGCAGGAGTAGGGATAGCACTAAGCATGAGGGCGGAACAAGCACTGTTAGAGTGGATCCCCGTTAACAGTCGTTTATGTGCTGTTCGGCTAGACGGCCCCGTAAGAACTCGGAAGGATAGGGACACACGTCGTTGCCTTTTTGTCTTTTCAACCTACGCTCCCACCGACTGCAGCTCGGATGAAGTGAAAGATGAATTTTACAGAAAGCTATCTGAAACGAGGAAGGGCAGCTGGTCCAGATGGATTGTTTCCAGAGGTCTTTAAGGATGGTGGTCCAATTTTAGCGATTAGGTTGACTAATATTTTAGCTAAGATCTGGGAGTTAGACGTTATTCCATCTGACTGGTCACAATCACTTATCGTCCCAATATATAAGAGAGGGGCGAAATCATCCTGTGACAACCATAGAGGGATAAGTTTAACTAATATAATATCTAAAATACTAGCCTCGATAATTATCGGACGCCTAACTAAGACTCGTGAACTACAAACACGAGAGAACCAAGCTGGCTTTCGACCTGGTCGTGGCTGCATCGATCACATATTCACCATTCGTCAGGTTCTAGAACACAGGCATACTTATCGGCGTCCGACAATGGTGGTCTTTCTTGACTTGAAAGCAGCATTTGATTCGGTAGACCGCGAGATCCTGTGGCAGTGTCTGTCATTGAAAGGCGTACCTCAGAAGTACATAAACCTTGTGAAGGCTCTTTACTCGAACACTACCAGTCGAGTGAGAGCTTATGGCGAACTGTCATCTGCTTTTGTAACCTCAAGTGGCGTCCGTCAAGGCTGTCCACCTTATCCATTTTTGTTTAACTTCATCATAGACCTATTGATGGAAATAACACTCTCGTCGACTGAACTCTCGGGTATTGATCTCCATCCAGGAGGTCCACTTATCGACTTAGAATACGCAGATGACATAGTCCTGTTTGGTGAAGAAGCACTAAGCAACAATGCCAGAATGTTTGGAATGCGCTTCTCTCCCCCTAAATGCAAGTTAATGCTACAGGACTGGTCTGCGTCAACACCTGAACTAAGGATAGGGAGTGAAGTAGTCGAACGCGTTGACAACTTCACTTATCTTGGAAGTCTGATCAGCCCAAATGGGTTGGTGTCTGACGAAATCTCAGCACGGACTCGAAAAGCTCGCTTGGCTTTTGCCAACTTACGTCACCTATGGCGAAGGCGAGATATCCGTCTATCAATAAAAGGACGAGTATATTGCGCGGCAGTCCGTTCTGTTTTAATTTACGGCAGCGAAACATGGCCATTAAGAGTAGAAGACACCCGTAAGCTACTAGTATTTGACTACAGATGCCTCAGAAATATTGCTGGCATCTGCTGGAATCACCAGGTAAGTAATAGTGAGGTTAGACGCATGGTATTAGGGAATGATGGTAAATCAGTTGATGAGGTTGTGAATCTTCATCGACTGAGATGGTTGGTGTTATGAATTTAAGTTGGGTTGATTTTTACCCTGTGCTAATTGTTGTGTCCTTGAATGGAAAAATTAGGGAGCAGCGTATTTATCGATCGATCCAATGACACGTAAACAAGTATGAACGGCCTAGAGTCTCGATTGGTCTCGCTTCCCTGTCTAGCCCAGTCAGTTGAGTCCAGAACACAAGTCACAGCCTCGTAGATATGAATCATTATATTTCAAACATACTTTGTTTATATACCAATGAAGCATAGCACATCGTACCATAAAATAGAAAACAACATTTTGTACAATATTCAACAAGTGAACAGATATCGACCAATAGGAAATGTCCATTTAAAGTCCAAGGACACCATTGGACTTAACACGATAATTATTGGTCTATTCCTCCGCATCCACAACAGGTGGGCCACGTGTTACGTATGCCTGAACACCGCTTACCACGACGCGCAATGCTAACCGGTGTTAGGGATGGTTAGAAGAAAGTTAGGGGCGGCCAAACCAAAACGTGGCATCAGTCGTTGAAGTCACTAGCTTGTAGTCTAAGCCATGTTGGCAGATGCAGACTACTTGGTTGGGGTCCGCGTGACTGTCGTAACCAATGGTTGGAGACTCTTGGTGACATGGCTCAGAATCGATCACAATGGCGTCGGTGTATACACTCTCTATCTTCTCTTAAACTAAGAGATTAAATTTGCTTCATATCCTTCTTTCTACGAACTAATTCTTTCTTCCTGTGTTAAATCCTTATTGCAATCTTTCTTTTATATATTACCACCTCTGAATTAACTACTTTTACGAATCCGGCGTCCATCTTGTTGTGCTAATGAGGTATGGCAACTTGGACCGATGCATAAATATGCCTGGTCCTACGTTGTAGCTGACTGACTGTAAACGAACGATACAATAAATAAGAAACATGACGTAATCGAGTGAACAACTTACAATTAAGTGTATCTGTAACACGGAATAACTCACTATTTTCTTTAGGGATCACACAGCTCGAAGTGGATATTGGCAGGTGAGTAGTAAGTATTGTAGGCGGGAGATTCTACGGTAAAAGCGAAAAAAACAGTCACAACATTCAGAAAGTATCGATTTCAAAGGGTAAGGCATTAAAGTACAAATCTGATATGATCTTGATGAAAAAGGTTGTCAGATACAATTGTATTATTTAAACAAATGACAGAAATAATTCATGATAATTAGGTCTTAATTTCATAAACTCAGTACTTGTACTACGAAATCCCTGTTTTCAAAATATCCGTGTTCTGAATAACCGTTAATCGAATTTCCCTTTGTATATAACTGTGTCAATTTTCTGGGACAAAAACAAGTCTGCTCACTGTTCGCGTCCCATCAATAATTCAACCAACCAAACTATACATCACTGGGCATTGTCTATCAAATAGCATTCTGCTCATTCATTTTAACAATCCAAAATATGATGAGCAATATGATTTCCAAAACTGTCCCATCAATTACTATAAAAATGTGACTAGTATTGGGTGGATGGAAGTTTCTGAATGGATTCAAAATGCTCGTTTGACTTCTGCCAACTTACGTCGCCTATAGCAAAAGCGAGATATCCATCTGTCAATTAATGGACGAGAATACTGTGCGGCAGTTCGATCTGTTCTACTTTAAGGTTGCGAAACGTGGCCATTAAGAGTAAAAGATACTCGTAAGCTACTAGTATTTGATCACAAATGTGTTAGAAATATTGCTCGCAGCTGCTGGAATCATCGGGCAAGTGATAGTGAGGTTAGACTCAGGGTATTAAGTAATGATGGTAAATCAGTGGATGAGGTTGTAAATCTTCATCGACTGAGATGGTTGGGCCACGTGTTACATATGCCTGAACACCGCTTACCACGACGCGCAATGCTGACTAGTGTTGGAGATGCCTGGAATAAAGTTAGGGGCGGCCAAACCAAAATGTTGCATCAGTCGTTGAAGTCACTAACTTGTCTCAGACAAGTTGGTAGATGCAGACTACTTGGTTGAGATCCGCATGACTATCGTAACCAATGGTTGGAGACTGTGGGTGATATGGCTCAGAATCGATCACAATGGCATAGGTGTATGCACTCTTTGTCTTTCCTTAAACCGTGCGATCGAAATTGCTTTATACCTTTCTTTCTACCAACTAATTCTTTCTTCCTGTATTGTATTCCTTCTATGAATTCAGTGTTCACCTTGTTGTGCTAATTAGGTATGGTACCTTGGAGTGATGCATATATGTGCCTGGTCCCACGTTGTCGCTGACTGACCAACTGGTGGGAATCACTATGTGTTCAGATGATACAATCATCATTAAAATTTACAAAGTCCTCCGTCAATAGACCGGAAGGAAAGCACTACTCACAAATTACTAACTAACCTCACTATCACTTGCCCGATGATTCCAGCAGCTGCGAGCAATATTTCTAACACATTTGTGATCAAATACTAGTAGCTTACGAGTATCTTTTACTCTTAATGGCCACGTTTCGCAACCTTAAAGTAGAACAGATCGAACTGCCGCACAGTATTCTCGTCTTTTTATTGATAGATGGATATGTTGCTTCCACCATAGGTGACGTAATTATATGTGAAAAAGCTAACTTGTCTGGACGAAACGTTGGAATTATTTAAATTTCAATCGCTGAGATGATCTCAAATATAATTTTCACATATAATGACTTCTCTATACTCGGCGTCCAATTTCTGTCAAACTATTCCTTCTAATCTTGACGAATATTCGTATAGGTGAGGTAAGTTGGAAAGTGCCAAACGAGCAGAGATCTCGATGGAGTTTTGTTCTCTGAGCTGGATGGTTTGGTCGTGGAGCTGTCATCGTTCTTCTGAACGACATCATCAGCACAAACTTCAGATAGAAGTGAAGTTTTCGAATTTCTCCATAGGCGTTTCACAGCTTGTTCTGTACACCTCGACGCCGATTGGATGAAATAACAAAGGAAGACAAATCAACCATCATCTACAAAATAAATTGTTCCAATTGCGAAAAACATTACATCGGACAAAGCGAAAGCCCCCTTCACCTTCGCCTACATGAACATCAATTAGCAGTCAAACGCTATGATACTTCCTCACTTATATCAATACACGTGGACAACTGCGGACATATTCGATTGGAAAAATGTGGAAATCTTGGACATAGGAAATTCCAAAAACACCAGAGAATTTTTACAATCGTAGCACTCAGGTCAATCAGCAATCAACAAGCACATTGAAATGGATCCAATTTATCAACCAATCAGAAAAATTATGCACAAATATAGGAGCAAAAATCAAACCAATGGGAGACAACCAAAACAAAGAAGTAAACAATGACAAATTTAAGGTCAATAAGAACCAATCAACGTTGAGGTGTACAGAACAAGCTGTGAAACGCATATGGAGAAATTCGAACACTCCACTTCTATCTGAAGTTTGTGCTGATGATGTCGTTCAGAAGAACGATGAAAGCTCCACGATCAAACCATCCAGCTCCATCAAAATCATCCACCTGAGCTACAAATCTTTTCCATCATCTCAAGAGCAGAGACTTCGTCAGGCATTAATCCATTACGGCTGATCAGACTCCAAGATAAGTGAAGCTTTCGATGCGTTCGACTAATTCACTCCCTATCCTTAGTTCAGGTGTTGACGCAGTCCTGTCCTGAAGCAACAACGTGCATTTAGAGGGAGAGAAACGCATTCCAAGCATCCTGGCATTGTTACTCAGTGTCACCAAAAGATCGTGCATTTTGTCAGCGTCTTCACCAAACACGATTATGTCATCTGCGTATTCTAAGTCGATAAGTGAAGCTCCTGGTAGGAGATCAACTCTTAAAAATTCAGTCGACGAGAACGTTTTTTCCAGCAGTAGGTCTATGATGAATTTAAACAGAAATGGAGATAGTGGATAACACTGATGGACACCACTTGAGATTACGAGGTCAGATGACAGTTCACGACAAGCTCGACTCAACTGGTAGTTTTTGAGCAAAGAGTCTTCACAAAGTTTATGCAATTCTGAGGTACACCCTTCAACGACACACTGCCACAGAACCTCTCGTTCTACAGAGTCAAATACTGCTTTTAAGTCAAGAAAAACTAGCATAGCAATAAATAACGTACAGAAAAATATTAAATTTCGCAAACATTTTCAGAAGTTTGAATTTTCATACTGACAGTGGTGTTTGCAAGGTTTGTACGTACATAAATGATTGAGAATTAATACAAGGAAATTTTCAATAAATAAACGCTTTCCCAATAAGAGATTTCGACCTAATTGTAAAAGAAGGAGTGAACACGAGTTATGTAACTTAGAAACTCATCGAACACATAAATCTCGACAAAGCTGAGCTGAGAGTTAACATGTTCGATTCCCTTAGTAAGTATATCTTCACGAGAAGAAATATACATTAATGTAATTACTCTTCTCAGTTGATAGTAAAATGATTCTTACCGTATTATCCATTGCAGAAGAAATAATTTTCACATATAAATTATTTTTCGAACTGTTGGGTGCTTCTATGAGTCTTTTGTCAACTGTTTGCAAGATGTTGCTATTTGAAGATGAAGACACCATGACAGATGTATGTGTATCAAATAAAGGGACTACATGAGAAGCTTGTGAATTCTGCGTTAAAGGGATGTATGAAGGAGTAGTTTCGAATGCTGAGGGTTTCTCACTTTCAGAAGAGACAACTGTAAGTGAATTAATAGGAGGAGGACCAACTACTCCAGAAGACACACTTATTACTGGGAACGCTGAAAGCTTCAAGCGATTTTGTACATAATCTGAATCGTTCTCGGCAATCTGGCGATTCAACCAAGCGATAACTGCGAAACATTTAGTAAAATTAAAGAATAATCATGTTCTTGATAAAAATCCTTATAACGGTTAAGCGAGACACCAACTTATTGTTTAATATTATTATTATTAAAAACCTTTGTTATGGTCCCAATAGTTTTCTTAGGTGACGAAGTCTTCTGTGCATTATCATAAATGTTCAAAAACGTAGTTTGGTAAACTTTAAGACAAGCATAAACAAAGTAAAACTGTTCTTTTTATGCAAGGATTTTTGAGTAATGTGCGCATCTGTTGGCCATAAAAGATCCAATCAAGGTGTTCGTAACCAACCGCATATTAATTATATCTGTGAAAAAGGAACCGTCTCAAGTTTTTTAATAGTTATCTAAAGCTAGTGTTCTGTAATTTGGTTATACTTTCTTTAAATGACTTCATTTTACACTATATTCAACTGATTTTTAATAACCAATAACTCAGGCGTATCTGTAATGTCAAGAAATTCCACACAAATGGAACGTTTTACCATAATACGGTAAACAGGGAAAGAGTAGAGGTAGTCATACATGTGATGGGAATCAAAAGAACAATAACAACGCTGGAAGAAAAAATAATAATATTCTAAAATTTCACATTGCAGATTTCTATTTATCAACAGAAAATGTCAATATATATAACAAAATACCTATTCAGCGCGGGCTAATGCATGAAGAAATAAATTGTCTGCCACGATCTCTAGAAAAAAGACAATACATTCATAACGCGGTAGGTGTAAATCTAGTGATAATTACAGAAACACTGAATACGAGAGTATTAAGAGTAACACTATAACTAACTAGCGTATTTAAAATGAATGGACAAAAGACGTGATATCAATATAGATTTACAAATAAGAGTGTTATTAGGTCCTTGTAAGCATATCATCTATCGATATAGATTGATAATTAACTTCTTATAGAATAGGAAACTAAAGCTCGAAATTCGCAGATTTTCGAAAATTGGGGAAAATTTTTATTTATAAAGTTTCTACCACTAACGTTCTGCTTGAGGTGCTATGACTCGACCGTTGATAACTAGGCTACAGGTTTGAACTCCCTCAAACCGACATAGATCTAGACAACCAAGTTGTGTTACTAGTCTTCATAACTAAAGAGAAATTTAAAAACACAGAACAAGAATCTATGATCAGTAAATGAATGGTTCACTTAAATTTAGGGTTGTGAATTACAAAAATAATGATTCAATTTTGTGGATTACCTATGTTATGGTGACCAAGACACTCAAAACCTTTTCAGTACAAGAAGTATCACTGGTACTCTAAATTTTTCGATGTATTTTGTCCTGATTAAGTGAAAGATATATCAGTGAAATTTTTTCATTGCTGTCCAAGATACCAACCCATGATTTTTGACAATACGAAAGAGAATAATACACTGCGACGAAAAAATAATGAAAATCAGATGAACATATCTAGCCTATTTGAATTAATATAAAATTAGCTCAGTCTGGATATTTGTAGAGATCGCAGCATTTTCACAGTTGAACTCACGATTCGATCTAAGCCAGATCACCATCGAAAACATGAAAGCAATGGACGACCGATCCGTCCTAGTACGAGTCTTATCAGCAGTGCGCATCCAAGATCCCGCACGCGGGACTCGAATCTGGATCTTCAGTCGTGCGCGCGAACGCTTAAGCTCTAAACCGCCAAGCCGGCATTTAGCTTCAATCAACTCATGATCCTGCGCAACCTTCATCCATTGCCTGAGGTGGATAACTGTCTCACACCTGACACAGATTGGACTCCACTGGTCACGGCTTCTTACTGAAACTCCAAGTCACATCATTAAGCTAGTCACTAGTGAGCACATGATTGTTATAAGTAGGAGCATTTGCGGAGACTAGTATTTTCACAGTTGAAATCATGAGTCGATCTAAATTAATTACATAAATTAAGTATTAATGATCAATATCATGATATTTGGCTGTTATGATAGAAGGCTAGCATTTGAATAGTATTCAACAATCGGTCATTCATAGTGAGTTAGAACAACTAACTAGCAATGTATAAAAAACTATCAAGATCAATCCGAATTATGATTGAATATTTGTGAAAAGAAAAGTTAAATGAACAATTCACGCTGTTCATCTTTAATTCACACTAATTTGTAGTCATAATATCTAGTCAATTATCTGAATTCTTGAATTTGTATAGGCTACATTTCCTGTTGTCATTGTGAAATGTAAATACAACAAATTTTTTGCATCATAAGATATTAAGACCCATCCTCAAGTTCTCATTGCACCGATTCGTTTTTGGATAATAGATTTCATTGAATTAATTCTCAATCCACTAAACGTATGACATAACATAATAGTTTGGATAAAAAAAGAGATTAAAAAAAACTAGACCACGCTACTTAAATTTCCAACAAAATAATAATTTTAGAATCCAATGCAAGATGTAAATGATACTTGCTAAAAACCCATCACACACACCACTGATTACAAAATTATCATTTTGAGACTTTTCATAATTTACAGAAATCCGTTGTGATTTCGCAATAATTGTCATGCATAGATGGCTGTCGAGCGTTTAGATAAACCTGCTCAAAATTTTAAAATGTAGGTGCACTACTTCGGTAATTTCTCACTAAGAGGCGATAGCAGATACTATCTTTAATAAAGATGAATATCAGGAAAGATAGTTTTACACCATGAAATCGGTCAAATAAGCACAAAACTAAAAATGAAGAATTTCAACGCGAGCTGTGGTATACATATATATGAATACATTGTGTACGATAAAATATTCATTGTTCTTTCGTTATATAAAAATGAATCGTAGTCAGTTTTCCATAACTTACTTATTTCATTGGACTTGATTGTTTTCTGAGCATTTGTTAAACTTTGCAAGGTTTGATCATGCTCTTCAACAATCTGAGTGTTGCGCTTTTTGACATTCGTGATTTCCGATCTTAATTTATCTAGTTCGGTATGTAGTCTCTGAATTTCAGAGTCTTTGGAAACTAGTAAGCGCTCCTGTTCCGCTGCTACTTGACCACGTAATTTAGCCTAAGACAAATGAATATCTAAATGTTTACATTATTATTTAAATGTAACGTTGTATAGAATAAAACATCCCAGTTGTAAATAATTGTATGAATTACTGTACCGAACGGTAATATAATGGAACCGATACAAACAGCTAAAATGGAAGCTCAACGAATAACAAACTGATTTGTCTGAAACGCTATGATTCGACTGAAGTTTAACGGTGCTAAAGTTTAGATCTAGATTCAAGGATTTGATTATCAAAGCAATCGGTTCTGATCAGTCGTAATGTATGAGTAGAGAGCACGGAAGTTATCCATCAATGATAATGACAACATAATCTAAACTCATTGAATGAAAATCTACTGGGAGCAATTACTTGTAAAGATTATATTTGAAATGATCTCAGAGGTTGGAATCTAAATATTTCAAAGTTTTGTCCAGCAGACTTGTCTGCACTTCTTTAGGGTAATAATCAAAATTATCAAAGAATATTTAATATTCAACAGTCAAATTAAATCTATACTGTGCTCATCCAATCATATTCAGATCCTGACTTTAGTAAGTGGGATATTATGCTTGTTTGATTTATTAATAGTTTATATTAAGTGTTAATTTGCTTTTTGTTTATTAGAAGTAAGAATAAAAATGTGAATTGAAAATGTTTTTGAAACATCGATGTGTATGTAAAATAAGAATCACCAAATACATAATTGTAATGGCAAAATATTCAAATTCATTTATGTAAAAATAACGGTTCATGAGAAGTAAACAGGCTAGATAGAGTTAGGGTCTAATCACCTGTTAATGACTATCTGCCAAGGGGTGACTAGTTGAATACCGACCTCTTTTGTTCAGGTCGGTCTTATTAGCCCATATATATAGCGCTTCTGCTGTAGGTCTTTTTTTATGCATGCCAAACTCTTTCCGAAGTATTTTGATCCTTTCAAAGCTCATCTTTCTAACGCGTGTAACAATATCACCAACCTATTCCGAAGTTCCTTAAAATCAACTGACTATTCGGGAACATTTTTCAAACATTGTTTGTGTTCTTTCAAACTGTCATTCAACTGTCAAGAGGCTTCACTCACATAAACTACATTACAATCATGACGACTGATCTCATGGATAACAATCTGTTTTTTTCTTTGAAAATTTGTCCTTTCATCAACTCTGAGGTGAGACTATAATTAATGCAGAACCTTTGAGCAACGCTAAAATGACCCTGGAATGTCCACTTACTATTATTAATGTGAGAAACTACGACTAGGATTTACAGTTAGACGTTAGGGTCAAGAACTAGATTTAATGTTTCTATCACGAACTGATCAGGGATAATGCCAAAATAGTATTTAACCAAATGAGTGAATGAATTTCGCGCCTAAATCAAAGATCTGCTATCTTAAACCCGATTGGTCCGTCTGTAAATTAGTCTCGCCAACGCTGATAATATGGTATTTGAATATGATTGGATGAGCATAGCACACATTTGATTGGACTGTTAAATATTATATCTTTGATAATTTTGATTCTGATTATTGCCCTGAATAATTCCAGACAAGTCTGCGGGACGAGAAATGGGATTGTTTGGATTTCAATCTTTGAGATTATTTCAAATATAATTTCTACAAATAATATCTTTTCTATACTCGACGCCCAATTTCAGTAAAACTGTTCGTTCAAATATTGACGAATATTCGTACCGGAAATGCTTTTCTTAAGAACCCAACTAAATTCATTTATTCCGCGACACAATACCACTAACTTATCCACTTAATTTTGCACTTTCACAGAGGAAAATTCATCATAGCAATCGTCTTCAAAATACCATATGTATGGTCGACACGGTGCCGAAGAATTAGGCCTCATAGTCAGGCCTTAATTGGTCGGATGAACTCATTTCCTCTAGTAGCCAATGCTATTTCATCATATTTATTTTGTGTTTATATTTTGTATACAAGCATTCTATTTCATTGTATGAGAATATAGTCGCCTAGCTAGTAGTATTGTCTTTGGTTTCTAATCATTTGAATCAATAATACGGTCACATGAGCATCCACCACTCGGCCATAGCGCACCATTCCATTGATCTATTGATTGGCATTTCATTAATCGATTTTGACAGTCGAAAATCTTACTCCACAACAATGGGTCAATATAAAATCAAACACTACATTTCTTGAATCTTTCAGACAATTTAAACTATCCTCAAAGAAGAAACTTCAATCACAATAGATAGACTAACTTCAGTAGTTTATTCGTCGCACGATCAAAAGATAGAACTAATGTTTTTACGTTTTTTACACCTCAAACAAGAACGCCAGAGGACCAGGTGGATGCTCTTCAAGTAATTCCGATATTTACACTAAGGAATTACGTGATCTTATGAGAAAAATGCAGGAACCAATAACAATCGTGCATTCGAAAAATGGTTATTTTATAGGTTTGTACAGAAATACGGTGGTGAATACTGGCACAAGACTTATTTATTTGAGCACATACATATTGGTAAAAGAGTGCGCCAAATATATATGCGCCACGCACAGGCACAAGAACATGAACAAATAAACTTGGAAGGAACGTATTCAAGGATTATTAAATATTCGGTGAAATTAGACGAAGACTGAAAACTGTATTTTTCGCGTCAAAGCTAGTTTCCCTTCCCACGCGAGATGTTGGTTAGTGACATAAAGAAATTTGTAAATGTGTACTCATAAAGAAGTCATTCAGAATGACGAAGAATAAGGTATATACATGTACTGAAGAGTCCACATACATTTGAAGTAGATAAGTGATGATATTAGTTAGATTGTTTACCATCTACTAAATATAAAACACCAGATAAATGTAATTTGCACATTTACAATAATTAGTGAACTGTGTTTCTCTGTTTTCGAAAACCAAGGCAATCAGGAGCTAAATACTAATTTTTAATATTAAAATGTTATCTTTTAATCTTTCAGTGCCTTAGTAACACAAATTGAAAACGTAATTATTCTCTTTTACTTTTCCAAATATAATTAATTCTGATGCTATCACTATTCCTTGTTAGTAGTTTGTTTTTGAATGTTGGACAATAAAATCAAACAGTACAAAACCATTACATTGATAGTTCAATTACAAAAGTAACTCATTTGCTAATACAGACTCATTTATTTATTTTTAAGCCGTATTACTTTTTTAAGAGCAGATGAGATGAATATATTCTGTTGCCCTAACTGAAGATGGAGTGGATTTTGAATGTATGACCTACTGAGTTGAGAGATAAATCCATTAACTTCTGAACCAAAGCTTAGTTTACAACACCTTACCAAAACCTTTTCAATTAAAACTAAACATTAATTTAGCATTTAAAATAGTTTGCTATTTTTGAATAAGTTCTCATGTTACTACTTGTTGATCTTTGAAGATGTTCGAGCGTGTTAACTTAAATTCTGCTGCCGAGAATACGACAAAATAACGAATCCAGCGTACCTTATTTATTTTTAAAAGAAAATTATGATGTGAATTAAATGTGCCACACTCTACAACTGATTCTGTCCCACAAGGTTGATCATTTTTGTTGGAATATGGAGACTTCAAGTAAGTCAACGTAAAGTTAGATATTACTTTCAGTCATATTTTTCACTTTCGCGAATTAATGAGACACGACAAGTGTTTGTCGACCAGGCAGGTAATAACATCGACTTAATAAAGAGTAATTAGATTTAACCTACAGAATAGGGTGACGTAACTGACAGTTTGTATAAAAAGAAAATATGTAAAGAAACGGCTTAGTTGCTAAAGTACACGACTTTTAACCAGTAAGTTATGGGCTCGAACCCTGACCAATTTAATTTGGACTGGACAAGTTGGGTAGTATTATAAGACTTCATACACCATGACATTAAACAGTGTACATAAATCTGCACTTTTCTGATGAATTACATCACTACTCTTCTATTGAAAGAGAGTATATAATTTATCACGGAGAATTTGCTAACAAAGACGTACTCAATCTGAATATTTATGTTCATGAGCATCCAAAATAGAGCATACTACTAGGAGCCTTCTTATTAGTGAAAACATTTTCTTAGTTGTTCATCTTTTCACATTTCGAAGAAAAAGTTTCAATACAACATCATAAAATCGTCTTACTTATTTTTCTTGATATTTTGAACTTATGAAGAGACATGATGATAATAGTATATTATTACTGTAAACAATCCTTAAAACTTTCATTACCTTTGTTTGGAAACTCTTGACTTCACTTTGTAAGCGTTTAATGATTTCATTGGATTTATTTATTTCCTCTGTTGTCGAAGCTAAATGTTTCTCCAAATTTTGTATGTTACGACAATGTTGTTCTGATTGTTCAAGTAAATGCAACTAAACAAAAGAGAATATTATAAGCAACTGTATAATCTACATAAATTATCCGAACATTTTCATTTAAAACCTTTTTATTAAAAATACAATATATATATACATTATGAAACAAACAGAACAATTAAGTAGGGAATTTGCTAAAGATACGCAAAACTATATAAAGATGAATGACGAACTTTCAAATTCTGTTAATTTAATGACGGCTGTATCCTCTATCCCGTAGATACATCATTTTAGATATAGTACTGATATTCAAGGCTTCAACAAGTTCTGTTAAATTTAAGCATATTCGTAAATGAATAAATATACGTTAGTCATGAAAACCAAAGATCAAAGGGGTGAAATGAATCATATATTTAATGATGCTTATCTAGGGAGAAGTGAAAACAAACATCTATAAAGTGAACGACCACTTGTGAAACAAACTTACAAAAAGTAGTAGTAGGATTTTCATGAAAAAAGTTTTTAGGAGGGTTACAGTCTCCAATTCGTTAAACTTATAACTGATTTATTACAGAATATCTAGAGATTTTATGGAATAAATCATGTAGCTGGGCTGAAGAAACAGACTTCCCTTATCCCTATGTCAAATTATTAGATGTTAGTAGCAAGCATATCAATCGCTTGTTTATACGTGTCAACGTAATAACTAAGTTTAGTTGATGTAGGAATACAATTACAAAGAAAATTATTATGCTCCATCTAATCATTTCAGTCTATACTTGCTGAAACTAACATAGTATTAACCATGGGTAGCCAGCCAGTTTACCTTTAGTCGAGACATTCACTTTCCCTTAAACCATATAGTTCCATGTTTAAAAACCTATTCTGTTAGTTATTAACCCACTTATTTTACTTGAATTGGTGCAAATGTTATGAAGACAATGCATGGAGGTCCTGTAAAAAAAGAATTTTCTGAGTTATAAGAATAATATAAGCAAAAAAGTAAATTGTAATAAACCAATGTGTAGAGAACTGAATCTCCGATGATTCATGATTTGGAGTAAGTCGTTTCTTTTATCATTTCAGATATGACAAATATGTTTTTATTATCACAAAACTACTGGATTTACTCGAAGTTAAAAATTCAAGTCTTGACAAAGATATCTAAAAACGGTCTGAGTTACTTGACCCAGTGAACCTGATTTTGTAGGCCAGGAATAAGCAAATATAAATGAGGCCGAGACTACGAAGCTTTGGTAGAATAGTGACTACGAGAATTCAACTTAATTTATTCTCTTGCCACCATACGTTGTAAAAAAGTACATTTATCAACTACAGAATAAATCCATAAAACGATAAGACAACTCGTTTTAAAAAACCTTGGAAAACTGTAGCACCTTTTTGTTTGTACTTCACCACAGTGATTTAATTGCTGTATTACTGCGTTCTAATGAAAAGGTAGCATAACTTAGAAATTAAATGAATACGATTATATTGAACTAGATACAAATACTATGACTCAGAATTTTAAAAAATTTATGTAATGTGTAAATTTGTTATGACACATTACCTTTTGTTCGTGTTCTTTAGTTAACGAATTCTCTAAGTCCAGTATTTGTTTACCTTTGGTAATCATATTTTCTTCTAACATAGATATTTTACTTTGTAACTGATTAGCCATTTCCGTTTGTAGATCATATGCCCGGTTGGTTGTATCCAATTGAGAACGTACAACTAACAATAAAATTTAAAATGTATAAACTAATGATAAGAATAAGTGGGGCAGACTTCCAATTAATACGAAGATAAATATAGAATTTAAACGTCGTTTACTTTTGCCAGGTAATGAAGACCAAACTATTTACGAAAAGATTAAAAAGGGAAACTTCGCCTGGAGATGCTGTTGTCCACTGTAAAAAAAAATTCCTCGTAAAACACTTGATCACTCTGGTGGAGACCTAAATGCCAAGATTAGAATGGACAACACCGAATATAAAGGCGTCGTAGGGCGATATGGACTGTTTAAAAGGGATGATAATGTAGTGAGACTGGCAGGTATGTGTGCTTTCAAAAACATCGTCATAAACGGCAGCATTTCTCCAATAAATGCATACACTGTGTCATGGGATTTACCAGACCACGCTACAGAAAACTAAATTGACCATATTCAACCAAGACGTAAGAATAAGAAGAGATGATGTAGCTTCGAATCGTCTTTGTGATGACCAAGCTAAAAAGGCAGTGAATAGTTGAACAAGAAACATTACATAATTTTGATATAGCCTTAGCTGCTAAAAAGCTCTGTCAGTTCAGGACAACCCTCAGCAAAAACTTCTAAGTCTTACAATATCTAAAAAAAGAAATCACTATAGATAGCGACTTGAAAAAAAGTAAAGACGTAACACGTTGAACATCCCAAGAGGCGCTTAGAGCTAGCAAGCACCAATATAAAATGTATACTACACAGTCTGATTTCATTTGTGATTTAAAATTTTTGACTAGCAAATAAGATTTTCTAACTATTTACAATGAGGCACAAAAATGCGCCACATAAATGAAGGGTCGTACAATCTGTAAATAAATGAACAGGAGTGATAGTTTTTAAGGAAACGGATCTGTAGGAAAACAACAAAGAAGTACTTATTTCCGTTAATAAGAGATTGTTTTAGTTTTATGAATGTGATAAAGAACCACATTAAGATCGCCACAAGTTTATATATATACATATATAAAGCTTTGACAAAATTGATTAAAAACGGGTGAAACCTACTTTTGATATCTTCAGTTAAAGAAATATTTTCAGTTTCTGCAAACTTTAGTTTCTCCTGGAGTGTTTCTACACGTGTTTGAAGGACAGACTGTTGATCCCGTAGATTCTGCTCAACGAAAAACAAAAGACTTTTATTTCCTTATTTAAGCGAATACCAGTAATGGCATGGATATGGATAAAACAATGTTAAAATCAAGGACGAGAATCGATCTACTCCATAACACTGAGACACATATTGGGTAGTCTAAAAGAAGCTAAAAGGACTGAAAACTAGTGTGTTACGTTAGCGTAAATCGTGGTACTTTAACAAGAAAACGGTGGATGGGAAGACCCAAGTAAAAACACCAAAACGATAGATGGGGACCAAGTTGACCCCAAAAACTAGTCAAAATACGTAACTGAATATCATATTAATACTATATAGTTAAACGTCTATGACCAACAGATATAGCCAATAAGAGTACTTCTTTTTGAAATGTGATTAAACGTCACAGACGAATGGGGAAAGAAACCAACATAATAGGTTATAATGAGTCGAGGATTTCTACGATAAGAATGTCTACTGTAAGGGGAAAGATAGGATGAGATATATCTTATAGTAGAAACGAGATTTTTAGAAATACATAGGTGTGTTTTCATCAACTCGACTACATTTGTAACAGCAAACAAGAAACCCGAGAAATCACTAGACATGATACGGTTTATAAATAAACAGATTGTTAAATGAATATTTGGACGTTCGAATACACAAAGATAATATTCGAAGGACTTAAATATGATGCACTATCAGGGCAAGGGAATCCGATGAAAAAATAAACCTTTTAAAAAATTTAGCATACTAGTTGAATCACCTGTATTCGTATTATAGCATTCACATTTCTGTCAGTAACCAAGATATAGTACAAACAAACTAGTTAAAACAGAATTTGGTGATACTAATAAATGGATATAATTAAGTCAATGGAAAAAGTAACTACCCCAAATGCCCTGGTATGGTCGATAGTGTGGAGAGTCAACTCTCTCACATGGCTACATGCATAAAACCACTGCCAGGGAAGTCCTTTTCGCTTCCTTCTCGCAGCAGGAGTGTTGTTTACGAAACTGAAAGAAAAGCAAATGTCTGGCACTTTAACCGGGTGGTGGAAACGGAGCACCCACCTAGGAGAGTTGGAAAATCCTGATTCCAAATCAATGGTGCACATGGGCTCTAGGATCCTGAGGGAACAAGTAGGGCATGGAACTATTGTTGGTCACCGGCTACCATAGGAATGCGTTTCCTAACATTTCTTCACTGCCTTATGGTTTAGACCTTTAGGTCAAAGGCTCGGGGTGTAGCCCCCTAAGAAAACCACCTGCTTCGGTTTCGGTGCCCGGGCAGTACTTCAGCCCTCACACAAATCGAACAATTTATGTAGTGCATATCTATTTGGTGCCTTCTTGTACCTATTTTTATGTGTGTTTGAATTAAATTAAAACCTCTAAAGATAAGTGACAGACTTTCGATATCTGATCATGTATTTTGATAAGTCCCATAAAAATTTAACAGAGCATTTTTAATTGTACGCCAGTGAAACATGAGTTCATACACTTGCTAATATTTCGGTGCTAAACAATGTTCCCAAATACTTTTTTTCACCCACCGACCAATCCAGTCAAGTGCTTCATTAGGAGGTATGCTTGTTTGAAACCTGTGGAAGCATTAATATTTGATCGATGGATCGAAAATTTCTGACAGGATATAAGTCCTCTCCCATAGATGACTGAAAACATGACACGTAACAGGCAAAACAAATTGGTTACGAAAATGAACTAGCTTCCCTGTGACCGTAAGTATAGAAACATGAAGTCGAATCTACGATAGTCAGTGTCAAGTTCTGTTTTAAAAGTGGCAATGTTAACTTTTCTTGGGAAAACAAAATGAGTTTCAGCCAGTAGTCTCTTATAAATATATGAAAAGACTTAATAAGTCACCATAGATTACATAGTTCAACAAATAAAGAAGGAAGTAATTTATAACGGTCTCTTACTAAATACTCACTTTGTTATTGTTCAATGCTAAATCCAAACGACTTTTAAAGTCCTTTTGAAGCTCCTCTTGTATTTGGTTGGCTAAATCTTTTTCTTTGGAAAGAGATTCTTCTAACTTCGTTTTTACCTAAGAATTTATAACTATTGACAAAAGGCTGAACCTCATCATGTTTCGATTGCAATTCCCTGATAGCAAACTCATTCTCGGAGCGAAGACTAAGTTCTTTAGCTGAACATGCTACTTTGAACGCTTGGAACTCGTCTTTTATTAACTTCGTACCCTAAAGGTGTAAAAAGGATGAAAAAACACACCTCCTCTGCAGATTTCAGAGACGACGTCAACTCAGATACAGAATGGCTAAGTTGCCTGATAATGGCATCGCTTTCAGCCTAAAAATAAAGCAAACCTACACAAGTACTTTATGTTTTTTTAAACGGCTTGCTAGAAATAGTTTAAGCTTTTCGTCATCAGCTGCATACAAATTGAGACTCAAATGGTGAAGATATTTGAAATTGGTGGCCTCAACTATTTGCAATAAACCGCAATCTCTTTCCTCAATGTTTCTGGAAAACCGAAGTCCATATCTAAAATAAGTTGACAGGTATAACCAGCTTACTTCGGAGTTTCGATAGCCTCCTCTTGTGAACAAATGCACAAGAGATCTGCTACTTTCTGTTCAAATTCGTTGAAATTAATCAGCAACCCTTGCTGCTGTTTAATTCTATAAAAGTGATGAGATCGAAAGTGGAAGCAGTACATACTCAGTAAACTCATCAACGGTAATCCTAATGAAATAAAGAAAACAATAGTCATCGTCATCTGTCAATCTTATTTCTAGATCCTGATTCGACATAAATCTAATCTAGTGGCGAGTTACCTTTTTTAGGTCTGAAGAACAACCTAGCTCGATATCTATGTTTAAGATCCTATCAACGATTGAAAAAGATGACTCGAACATTACCGTTCTTTTCCGTCAAAAGACACTAAATGACGACCTGAATAAAACATCAGTATAATGAAAGCCTCTTCTTATGAAGGTTTGTGTACAAAATGGTAGGAGGTTGCCGTTAAGAATATCAACAAAAGTACGTCTCCGAAGGAATCTGGAAGCAAGGATATATAACACTTGAACCAACGACAATACGTAGACTTGAAAACCACTTGCATTTACAAATGAAAGTTAGTACAATGACAAACAATTTAAAGACAAGTAAAGAAAACCCTAAGGATAAAGCTTCCGAATGAATGACATAAACAATCAAACGACTAGCGCAGAAATATATCCCCGACTTCGGCCTTGAAATTTGACAGTTTAAAACAAACAGTTTAGACACGACCGGTTTAAACAATGACGAAATTTCCACCAGCACCGTTTAATTCATCTAATCCATTATTAGGAATATCTATGACGGGATATTTTTGAAATTAACAGACTTCTTTCTTTTAGAATCTTTGTGGCTTATGTCCAATGGTAAAGTAAAATATGTTTAATCAGATCAGACGAGTATAATGATTTCAGAGGATAATGCAGTTTTCTTCAACTGAACATGTTCTGATGAAAAATGAATACCTTTTGTCCAGAGAGATAAATGACTTGAACCAGCAGATGTCAGACAACAAAAGAGTTCATTAGGCAGTCATAATAGGAAAGCTCTAAAATTAACATAGGAGAGAGTAAAAATAGGAAACAAGTCCAAGTTAGGCAAGTAAACAAATTTAGCCAGACTTAAGAGATACGGAAATACATAAATGAAAGAAAACATGAAAACGGTATTTGAACCAGGATGATAAGTAAACGAATGAATATTTGAACGAACATCGCAACAACAAATGCAGGATAAGATGACCAGTGTAGCAGCAGTAGATCTCAATATACACAAAGGGAAAAGCAAGAATCTCCGATACAACACAGCATGCACCAATCCAATCACAATTGACGGAGAAGATTTGGAAGATGTAAAAACCTGTACATATTTGGGCAGCATCATTGATGAACACGGTGTATCTGATGCAGATGTGAAGGCACGGATCGGAAAAGCAAGAGCAGCATATTTACAACTGAAGAACATCTGGATCTCAAAACAACTGTCAACCAACACCAAGGCCAGAATTTTCAATACAAATGTCAAGACAGTTCTACTGTATGGAGCGGAAACCTGGAGAATTACGAAAGCCATCATCCAGAAGATACAGGTGTTTATTAATAGTTATCTACGCAAAATACTTAGGATCCGTTGGTCGGACACTATTAGCAACAACCAACTGTGGGAAAGAACAAACCAGATCCCAGCGGAGGAAGAAATCAGGAAGAAGCGCTGGAAGTGGATAGGACACACATTGAGGGAAGCACCCCACTGCGTCACAAGACAAGCCCTCACATGGAATCCTCAAGGTCAAAGGAAAAGTGGAAGACGAAAGAACACATCACGCCGGGAAATGGAGATAGACATGAGAAAAATGAACAAGAATTGGATGGAATTAGAAAAGAAAGCCTAGGACAGAGTGGGTTGGAGAATGCTGGTCTGCGACCTATGCTCCATTAGGAGTAACGGGCGTAATCAATAAATGAATGAATATTTCAACGAACACCACATTAATATCACAAGAGTTGGATAATACCAAAGAGAAGGAAAATTTGTTCTTCGTGCTTTCAGCACTGACCCAGACAGAGACACAAACGTGAAGTTAACTAAATGAATATCCGTTTATGATAGTGCTTCCAACCCACAGAAGAGTTTATTGGCAATCATAATAGGAAAGAGTAAAAAATAGGAAACAAGTCCAAGTTAGGTAAATATACAAATTTAGCCAGACTTAACAAATACGGAAATACGTAAACGAAAGAATACATGAAAACGGTATTTGAACCAGGATGATAAGTAACAAGGTGGAATAGAGAGTCCCCACCAGGTTTTATGATCATTATGCAGACGTTTTGAAATCTTATGTGTATTGCTGAACTTGTAACAGCTTAGGTTGGTTGGTTAAGAGTCGACCCCAAACAACCAAGCATATGCCAAAGCAGTATTGCTCAAGTATTCATTCACTTACTTATTTTTTATAAGCGTTATATTCCCTATTATCTTATATTGAATGTTGAGAGCCTTTGTTTGTCTGAACAGAGAATCCCACACTCCACTGTGACTGCGCAAAGATCGAAATAAAGACCTATTCATTACTTGTCTGGTTTCTTCTGTCAATAGCACGAGGGTTACCTATAGGCACGAAAGTGGTGAGCCGTTTTTGAACACAAATTTAACCTCATTTCTGTTATTAACATTTTTTTTACTTAATCGTAAAAGTAGACCTGTTTATCCGTAAACTAAGTTGAGTATATAACTAGTTTATTGTGGTGTTTGAATTAACTAATGATTCTTTTGTACTTGTTGAATGCTCGATTTCGAATTCCAAATACAATACATTCGTTTGTGCTTGTGTCTTCTTAATTCAATTGCGTTAATCCTGGAATTCCTAGTTCATACGATAATTTGAATACTATATTGGCGTCGCGATGGAGCCTGCAATGGAAAAGTTAGATATTCATTCAACTTCAGAAGCTTTTGAAGATTACTTTGAAAGGTTCGAAATCTGGGCTATGGCCAAGGAAGATGATGAGGATGTTAATATTGTGGCACACTTCCTCACATTCATTGGAAAAGAAGCATATAGCTTATTAAGAACTCTGGCTATGCCGGAAAAACCCATTTCGCTTTCTTATACAGCTCTCAAGGATCTACTGCTAGACTATGCTCAGTATACAAATTTCAAATGTCGTAAAGGAGGAAGATTTCGTAAAATGATTCATGAGGATATAAAAAAGTCCACTACATTACTACGTCATCTCAACCTAGTGCATACTCAAGGTTATGCAGACAATTCATTGAATTTGGATGCAGTTCACGAGGATGGGGACAAGTTTGGTCAGTGTTTGTCCTGTTGCAAGTTCCACTCTTCTAATTCATGTAAATTTCATAATTCTAAATGCTTCAAATGTCGTGATATTGGACAAGTTCAGTCAGTTTGTAATGCTAATGTTCATCTTACTGCAATTAATATTAAGTCTTGTAATTCTGATTCTACTGAGTCGAGTATTCATGATGATCATTTATCTTTATCAACGATTTCAAAAGACAGTGCAGAGTCATATGGCAGTTCAGAGTTAAATGAAATCCAGAATTCTTGTGAGACAACATTTCCTAATCAACCGATTTATCAGAATTCTCATGCTATTGTACCAAGTATGACTTTTCCTAATGATTCACATATTTCTAATGAAATTACTTGCAATTCTGAGGAAAATATGTTAAATGAATCTAATCATGATCGAAAACCTGATGTGGTTTGGATAGATGCTGATTTTTCTAACGATCCTACGCTCTGCAGTGACAGTCCTGATGAATTTCATGAGAATATTTCAGAAGAATCAAATCCTGATGTCATATCATATATTACCTATCCTCATAATGTATTTGATCTTCGTGAAAAACCTGCCCAATGCGAAGCACGAGTACTAAGTGACCTCGAGTTTTATTATATTTCGGATGATTTCATATCAACTGCTGTTTACTCTTATCACAAAAACAGTTCTAATGTTTACTCTAAACAATGTGAGATATATGTTTTAAATGAAGCCACATTATTCATAACTTGGGAGTATAAAGATCCAACATTATTTCGTGGGGGGGGATAGTGTTGAAAAATCTATGGTTCGAATTCTAGATATTAATGATTTCATTACAAAACCGACATGCTGGTTGTATACAATTCCAGGTGAGTCTGTTCCGATTTCGTTTGTTAATTCCAATACTAATGAGCACTTTCTAGATACTACAAAGTTTTTATCTTATACAATGTCGGACAGACTCAGGATGAACTTAACAAAAAGACGTACAACCGATTACAAACACTTATACTTCTATTTAAGCTGTGGCGGATGTGGTGTTTGAATTAACTAATGATTCTTTTGTACTTGTTGAATGCTCGATTTCGAATTCCAAATACAATACATTCGTTTGTGCTTGTGTCTTCTTAATTCAATTGCGTTAGTCCTGGAATTCCTAGTTCATACGATAATTTGAATACTATATTTATTCCGTATTATCTTAAGTTATTCGTGTTATAGTAACCATTTTTCGTGCTAACTTTATTGCTACATTTGTCACATACCTCATGTCAGACTCAATACAAACCCAAAACCTGGAGGATTTGTCACCAGTGGAGATAGACACTGTTATGACTACAAAATCCCGACTTCCAGAATTTGATCCTAGTGATCCTGAGTTGTGGTTTGCTCAACTAGAGCATTATTTCACGAGGCACAATATCAAATCTGAAGGAATTCGCCACAGAGACTTGTGTTCTGTCCTTCCTCCTTCAGTCGCCAAAGAAGTCCGTGACTTGATTTTAAGTCCACCATCGCCACAACCATACACCATCTTAGGACGAGAGATAATGAACCGTTTATTATTATCAGACAGTCAAAGAATCCAAAGGCTTTTCCAAGGAGAAACACTAGGTGATAGGTCTCCGTCACAGTTTTTACGTCACCTCCAAGTCTTAGTGGGTGATAACACAGTGGGTGAAGTAGTCCTAAAACAAGGATGGATACAAGCTCTCCCATGCTACATCCAACACTGTTTGGATGCACAAAATCCTGGAACATCCTTATCTCATTTAGCACGTATAGCCGATAAAATAATGGAAAGAGGTCCTCCAACTGGATAACGCACGATAAATCACACACAAAAAGAAGAACCAGCAAAAGACCCAGTCACAGAAGGACTCATTGCGAGTGTTAAGAGTCTCACTGAGGCTGTCACCAGAATGCAAATGGGTCATACAAACAGGAGCAGGTCACCACAACGACCACGATCCAAGTCACAAGACAGGTCAAAATGTCCCGACGATCTGGGCAGTCCTGTTGGTATCACTGGAAATTTGGTGTCAACTCAATTGCTTTCTCCTCGAAAAGACTCACTCCAGCAGAGATAAGGTATTCTATCTTCGGGTGAGAACTTCTTGCAATCTACCTGACCATTAAACACTTCCGACACATGTTAGAAGGTAGGGAATTTATAGTCTTTACGGATCACAAACCACTGACGAATGCATTAAAAGCGAGAGCCGATAAATACTCACCTCGAGAAGTCCGACACCTTGACTATATATCACAGTTCACAAGCGATATCCGACATGTCAAAGGTCAGGACAATCAGGCGGCAGATGCTTTATCTAGACTAGAAATGAACGTGCTACAGCAGTCTACAGTAAACTTCGAGACGTTGAGACACGAACAAGAGCAGGACCTAGAATTACAAAACCTACTTAAAACAAACAATTCAAGTCTTAATTTAAAACAATTCCCATCACCTATCGATGGTATTCTAATTTATTGTGACACGACCAAGGCAATGCCGCGACCTTTCGTTCCCAAAAATATGCGAAAGTTGATATATAATAACTTTCATTCTTTGTCTCATCCTGGCGCGAAAGCTTCAACAAAAATAATCAATGCCAGATATATATGGCCGAATTTACAGAAGGATGTACACAAATGGGTTAGAGAGTGTTCAGCATGTCAACAATCAAAGATTAATCGTCACACAAATTCACCCATAGGTTTTTTCTCGCAACCAGATGCACGTTTTGCCCATGTGCATATCGACTTGGTAGGTCCTTTACCACGTTCAAACGGTTTTAATTATCTTTTTACATGCATAGATCGATTTACCAGATTCCCTATAGCCATCCCGATAGCGGACATCACAGCGGAAACAGTAGCCAAAGTTTTCATGCAGAACTGGGTAACCATTTTTGGTACACCCATAACAATAACGACGGATAGAGGAGCGCAATTCGAATCCGAACTATTTAATAACTTGGCTAAACTTCTAGGCTCCAATAGGATACGCTGCACTGCATATCATCCTCAGGCTAATGGGATGGTAGAACGTTTTCACCGTCAGCTAAAAACCGCCCTTATATCTCACTCAAACCCCAATCAGTGGACAGAATTCCTACCATTAGTTATGTTGGGAATACGAACATCTGTCAAAACTGACGCACAGTGTTCAGCTGCGGAACTGGTTTTCGGAACAACTCTGAGACTACCAGGTGAATTTATTAACCCTAATACTAACAGTCAAAAACTTAATTTAGAAAATTATGTAGATCAACTACGGGACCACATGTCTAAACTTAAGCCGATTAATACTCGTGAACAATCGCGCGCCGTATATATACCTAAAGACCTAAGCAATTGCACGCACGTCTGGATAAGATGTGACAAAATAAAAGCACCACTCAGTCCTCCATTTGAAGGTCCTTTCAAAGTCGTCTCAAGAAAATCTAAATATTTCGTGATAGAAAAACATGGAAACATCGACACAGTAAGTATTGATAGGCTAAAGCCGGCTTATCTAGATCATGAACCACCATACGTGTTGTTAGATCGTTTAACTGACAAATCCATTACGGAATCGAAATGTAAAGATGATAAATCTTTACAAATGACTAAAACGGTTCGCTGGGCACATCCAATTAGTCAGTCAAGGATGTTGACAGTTTCGGCTGCAGGATAAAATCTAATCACGTAGCTAATCAGACCCTGCATCTACTTAAAAATAATTTTTTTCCTCATTCCGCCTCACCTACAACTCCCCAGACCTTTTACCTTTGATATATAAGTGTTATGTTAATTTTTTTTTATAAAATACTGGACACATAAGCTAGGTATTCCGCAACGATGGCTGAGGATTTTAATCAAACTCATACAACTAACACTGGCAAATACAAAGAATTCAAAAAGCAACCCAGGCGAGTTTTATAATTTCTTATTCTGGTTATTAACTATGTTGGCTGTACTTCTTATATACTATATACATTTTTCACGTAGACTGGCTATACATATATACCATATGAACTACTTCTAAAAGTTTTCGGTTGAGGATATGTTTAGTGGCTTGATACGATCAATACTGCTATTGGATTAAACCGTGGTCAAGTACTTATTAAGGTTCTCATCATTTTTTTCCTATTTAGGAAACTTATGCAATAACTTAACCAGTTCTCCTTTAGCATGCTTTTTAGTGTGATCATATAACCCATCTTTATTGGCAACATTCAGATTTTTTTTTAAAAATTTCTGACATTTAAGAATCAATAACTGTGAAAATATAGTACAGTGCGTTACTGTAAGGTTACTATGTTAGCCGCATTGATTCCACATACCTAATTCTAAACACAACTTATAAGGGAACTGTTTAGTAATCATAACATTGAACTGACGATATGAATATCACGGCTATGCTAACGTTAAACCAATTATTATTAGTGGTCCATACAAAATCCTGGAACTTAAAACTAGTTATAAAAAAGACATGTTGTGTCAATAATTTATATATATATTTTTTGTCGTTGGTTTAATTATAACGTAAAATGGAAATTTACTAAACTTGTAGTTTTTTCTATAGTAATAATATTAATGTAAACAAAGAACTTGTACTTTTCCAATATGGCACTTTGACATATCAATCTGTCCTCTTGTCCATTTTTCTCTCATATCTGAGCGACTTACAAGCAACAAACATCGTACTGAAGGTGGGTTCGGTGAACAAAAACGCAGGCCCCACACGCACTCGAACTTCTGCCCTCCTGGATGCTAGACCGCGTGCTTAGCCGTTAAACCACATCAGACCACGGAGGAAGTGACTTCAATATTTCCTTACACCAATTAATCACTCATAATACTAATGAGTTGTAGGACTTACTTCTGAGGTGCAGACCAATTCGTTACTTAGATGAATTGACGAAATATTGCTTCAATATAGTCATGCACACCTAAATCAAACCAGAAGAGGGTATTTGACACAACTGCACTTGATCCGCATACTCTACACAGTTTTTTTTGCTTCTTGACCGTATATTCTTTTCCGTCTTGTGGAGTACAATTATGCACCCTTGGTTACGTACCTGGTTATAAAAGGCGGTCGTCATAGGCCCAAGGTCATACATTTAATCGGGTTTGACAATGAGTCCAACTTCTAGCAAGTTCACACTTTTACATATATGCATTATAAAAAGTTTTTTTTGTTTTCATACCTTTTCGTACACAAGATGGCTACACTATGTCTATTTCCTTCCAGAATACCAATCCTTTCTGGAGGCCAATCACTTACGTGGAACCGAACAATTATCAATTATATTTATGTATTTCCACTTTGTATCTCATTATTTTTATGCAGGCAGTGGAGCAGTTCTTCAGGTTTGATTGGTTTTCACCATTACCTTTGAAGTAGATTCTTCTTTACTTTTTACTTGAGGGCGACTCAAGAGGCAGGTGAGTAAACACCTGATAGCCGGTCTGAGCATGGAAAAATCGTACCTCACCAACATGGTGTTGGATAGCCCGCTCGCGGCACTTCCTCAGATATTCTTATTCCACATTCTCACACTATTTCTCTTGAAAGCACGCAGCAAACCGTCAGCGATAGTTGCAGAAGAGATCACATGCTACAAAATAAGATGACAAGCTAGTAAGTGAAGAGACATCCATGGACTATCGTTGACAGCTGACAGCGTTAGTCGTCACTGATTATAAGTCAAATAGTGAGCGAGTTGATAATTTTCCCTTGGGATGAGAAATAGAACTAAGATGTTTTCGATAGATAGGTTAATCGAACCGACGTTCCTATGGATGTCGATTCTAGGGGGAAGCTAATGTAACAGCTTAGGTTGGTTGGTTAAGAGTCGACCCCAAACAACCAAGCATATGCCAAAACAGTATTGTTCAAGTATTCATTCACTTCCTTATTTTTTATAAGCGTTATATTCCCTATTATCTTATATTGAATGTTGAGAGCCTTTGTTTGTCTGAACAGATAATCCCACGCTCCACTGTGACTGCGCAAAGATCGAAATAAAGACCTATTCACTACTTGTCTGGTTTCTTCTGTCAATAGCACGAGGGTTACCTATAGCCACGAAAAACTAACCATCTGCCGTAATAGACGTGCCGTATTGTAAGAACCTCACAGGAACGCAGTATTCACCAACGGGACACACAGTAGTGCGTTCACGAAGCCGTGAGTGGACCTAGTCTTTATTTAAATGGGGTTCTGTAGGCGCGTGCATGCTGATTTATACTTTCCAACGAATTACCTCCTAACCTTAGACTTATCTCAGTTTGTTGTCAATGCTAAGTGCAGCCAATTCTTTTTCGACCAACCTTTTGGAATGATAAATTTGTTGAACGGCAAAGCGCATGACTGGAATCCAAGAAGATACTCTAAAATGAAAACAACCTTGTAAGCGACCACGGCACCGGTAGCTAGTCGCAATATGGCCACCATGAGCCCAGACTTAAGTTGAGGAGGGAAGACATGACAGTTCAGAAAGCTTGCGATCTGTGCAAATCTGTGGAAAACAGTCTCCATTATCCGAGCTGGGATCAATGAATTGCCATCACTTTCAGTCCTCTACAACGTAGGTCCAGGCACATATATGCATCAGTCTAAGTTGCCATACCTCAATAGTACAAGCTGGACACCGAATTCATAGAAACAGTTACTTCGACGGTAGTAAAATAATCATCAGAGTATAGGTGAACACAACGAGAAGACATTGTTTTTCACATCGTTGCGAGACGTTAGTCTTAGTCGTAAATGTCCGTTGTTCGATCTGTTTCGATGTATGAACGTTGTGGATAGAAATTTTAAAAGACGTACAGGATAGGTACATGAACTCTTTCGCCCAAGGACAACCTTCGGTAGGCAATAATTTGGCAATGTGAGATCATTCAATTTAGATTACTCAGGTGGCATATTTCTGTTTGAGTAAGACGTCAGTGAAATGAACTCGTCTGAATGTCTTGAGGACTACATTAGTGTTAGTTGGGTCTCCAACAATTCGAAATGCTTTAGAACTACAGTGGGCCAGTTTTTAATCTGAACATATGGAGGTAAGTAGTTCAGCACACTGACGATACTCACCTTGGCAGCTCCATTAGCATTGGGCGATAGATAGACGATAGAATTTTGACACGAATGAAAATCTTGTTTGGATTTTGTAAACTTTCGTTACGTATGATGAACAAACGGTGTCTGTCTGTCTATAAACGAGCAAAGACGTTCCAAGGTACTTCGCTCTGTTTTCGCTTATGGCTGTGCAACACTTTACTGGAGGTGGGAAACACAGGTAGGTTCCTCAGTGTTATGGCATACGTTCATAGAACTTTATACGCTTTCGGTATAAGTTACTCACCAAGTTTGTAGTTTAGTGTTTTTTGAATTCCTAACTGAATTCAATGGGTTACATATAGTCAGTAGTGCATCAATCAATTGCACATGATTGGTCGATATATCCACTAACAACTTCACCTGTGTGACATACAATGCAGTTGGGAAATTGGAAAATACAGAAACATGCACAAATACTCATTATTAGTTCCCTGCTTTTATGAAAGTAATAATAGCGTGCAGAAAGAAAAACTTTACAATGACCGTTATGGTTGGTGTCAGTGATGTATTACAAATAGTAAAACTAGAAAATCACACAGTAGTGCGTTCACAGTTAGTTTTAACAAATGTATTAAGATTCATTTGATGATAGCCCAGTGTTTTAAAATAAGTCGAAGGCAAATATTCGACTGAAAGAATTGTAATACAAAAAGTGTCAATAATAGTTTAGTAGTAGTCTCCGAACCAATCACACTGTCGAAAAAGACAATCGAAATGCAAGAGGAACGATGGGAGTGTATTTATATACAAGAAGATGGGATGGTTATATCCATTTGAAGAATTGAATTTCGTAAGTTATTAAGAGGAATAGTGTTACAGTGATTTGTATTGGAATCAGTTTTTAGCCTTCTCCCTCAGTGTACGCTCTCGTAGGTTAACCAAAAGGTCACGGATTTGGGCACGCTTCTGGCTGACAGTAGCTTCTGGAAACCAACCAGCCATTTCGTGTTGGAAATAATCCTTCGTATAACTTTGAACAGGTTTCTAAAAATATATTAACCAGTGGTAAAAAGGCGAATAAGTGATAGAGTTAATTTTTCGGTCAGTTATTGATAGATTATTTCACGAAAACGCTGTCGACAAAAGTAAACTGCAGGGTCGCGTATGAAACAATTTTAAGCGCAATCCAATAAGTATATTAGGGGTTACAAGTCATCAGTTACTAAGGTAATGCATATAAAGGAATGGACAAATGATCACTAATATGGATAGAATTTTCTGATATTATTTTAGAAATCTATATAAGCGAATATTATACAGAAGATGCGAGTTTACACCCAAGTATACACAGTAACTATAGTACAAAGATTGGTTTCCGTAGGTTTATATCAGAATGAGCACACTAGGTACATAATAAACATATAATTCTAACCACAGGTACGATTCATTTGTATTAGGCCCAGCCCATCAAGCGAAGGGCCATACACACTTTGATAGCCTGAAATAAATGACCGATATTCAGATTTACAAGTTACACGTTAACAATAACATATCAAGTTTACACCCATAATTAACTACGATATGTCAAAACAATTAAACTCGCCTTGAAAAACATTTCCACGTAATGAAGTAGGTAGATTCCACAATCAACCAGGTTACTCTGAACAGGCACTCGAGGACTAAAACCTCGAATTGTATCCTTATCGAAGCGGAGAACACCATCTTGGGCTGATCTGCGAGTATTCCATTCAGCTTGTAAATAACTGAAATGAACAAAAAATAAAATATTTGCATTTATATGTGTTTATTAGTAGTCTACAATATAGTGGGATTAAAAACCAAAGTTACATTCTTTTACTCATTGTGGTTTTTGTTCAAGATACGATATTCTTGTATTAAGTTAACATGAACTATGCTCAACATGACATGCAGCATACGATTTGTTATAACTCTACGTATTTTTCATATATGTGACTTTATCTTAATTAATAATCAAAATGGGTGTACAGTCAATATACAAATGAATTTATTGTTAACCAGGGTCGTTTTTATGTTTTGGGGTTAATAAATCACTTGTACCGGTCTTGGTGTTCTTTACGTCATTGGAATGGCAGTGGTTCACCGTTTTACAGGTATAATTAATAAGCGATTCTGACATAACAATTAGCGACGACTAGATAGAACAACTGACGACAGGAATTTCGAAAAAAAAGAAAACAAAACAATCGCTGACTGGGTCAATTTACAAGCTTCAGTTTCCGACATAACTGTCTGTTTCCAGTTATAACCCAGTTTTCAGTTCAACTTACTCCAAATCCTGTTTCCTCAGTTATAAATATAATTCTGCTCTTATTTATCAAGTCTCTGTTACAATAAACGACGCGGTTACTAATGTGAGAACATGTCAGTTTCAGCAGCAAAAGTAAAACGGATGCTTCAGTTTATTGAAGATTTATTTGTCAATCAGATCCCACTTAATGCTCATTGGTGCATCGAACGAACATATGCTTAAACAATCAAATTCGGAATCGCACTCAAAAGTTCTAGATACACTTAACGAGTTAACTGATACAGCAAGGAACAGTTTTGTGAATGAGGAAGAGGTCAATGAATTCCTTAATAATAATCCTCGCACAAAATACGATGGAGTAGAAGAGAAAACCTGCTTCTTACACTTACGTTTCAAAGGTGATGAAATTGCCGGAATAATTAATCACAGACTAAACTGTGCGTTGAAAGTGACCTACCCAGCAGCAAAACTTATGACGGTATGGCAAACGAACTGCTCACTTAAACATACCAAAATCGACAAGTCCTCTTTTCTTAGTAGCTCCAACTACATTTACCAATTCACATGTACGTGCCAAACACATAAATTGGAAGAACTGAGAGGAGAGTGCATGTCCAAATTTCTGAGCATGTTTCAAAAAACTCGAGGCTGCAAGGGACTAAGGCTTTCAACAACGCAATAGCTCGACATCTACTTGGCACCGGGCACACCGTCGACATTCCGCACGCTTTCAAAATTATCAACAGACAAAGAAGTACGACCACCCTCCGTTTTGCTGAAGCCATTGTGATCAAAAAACTTAAACCGGATTTATGCATTCAAAAAGAGACTTGAATAAACTTATCACTACCCTGGTAACCCCCTTTTTTGTGTGTTTTGGTTATTTGGGTTATTTTATTCATTTGTTTATTTTAAAATATTTATACTCCTCCCCTATTACATAATTCTTAAACCACATTATTATTCACACATTTCCGCCACCTGATCCTCTTAAATTATCTTAACTTTTCAAATTCTATTTAATTATTACATAACCTAACTTATGATTATCCAATTTCATTAATCTCTAAAATTATCATACAATTTATGGACTTCACTAAACTATTACACCACCCACCCTGAATTAATTCCTTTTTTAACCTCTGACCTGTTCTAACATATATATATATATATATATATATATATAGTTATTATTGTAACCCAGTTATTTACACTCATCCATGTCAATTGTTTTCACACTATCTCAATGTAAAAATTCTATCACATTTCTGGTTTGTAAGCAGCTGACGACAAACCTCGAAATAATATGAATTCATACTATTCTGCACCAATATTTGTTCTTGCTTTATTTAAATTCATAAAGTGGACCAATTGCATGAAATCCTTAATAATGTTGACTCTGGACGGTGTTCAAATGTTCTTTTATCGCATCCCTCTCATTCTAATTATCCAGTCACGTCGGGTGGGACAAATGTTTCAAATGAATCCATTTCTGGTCAAATTCCTAATGATATCATATCAGATGCTGACTATCTTGATGATTCATTAATTCCTAATGAAGTCCTTAATGAGTTTGAGAAAAATGTTTCAAATGTATCAAATTCTGGCGATATCATAACAAATGTTGCTTGTTCTCACGATGCATTTGTTTCTAGTGAAAAATTAGTCAATATGATGCACGAATTCTCAATGGGTTCAAATCTAATTATAGTTCTAATGGACCAATATCAAGTGTTATTTATCCTCACAATTCACTCACCTCTAGTCAGTGTGAGAAAAATGTTCTAAACGAGTCACACCCTGATCACATTTCAGATGTGATTGTAGCAGATTTTGGGTGCTCTCACACCTGATATATATGTTACATAGAATCCCTCCTCAATGTTATGATAAATCAATCGATATAACAAGTGTTTGTGGAGCAGTCGCAAAACCAGATTGCAGAGCATGGAAGTCGGAAGGTTAAATATTTTATTTATTTGTGTTTATTAGTAGTTTTCTAGTTAGTTTAATTAATAGAGTAATTAACAGTCATTATTATGCCTTATTATAGATAGATCTATCGAGTGATATTGTGGTATGCAGTCATTTGTGGTTAGACAATGTCTCTTAGATATTCGCAAAGACAGCGAATCAACTTTCTTCTCGTTGTAAAGTAATTATTCCTAGCAGTTACAGAGGGAGAAGTAATCTTTTTTGTTCTTGCACAAGACTAGTTTGTTCACAGTAAACAATAGTCACCTAATTACTGGTACGAGTTACTCTCCTTAATAATTTTTTGTCTCCAAAAATTTTTCACAACTGTTATGATCTGGGTTTATTTACACCTCCGAACATGTTGTTCGGTAAACAACCATGCGCTTGCTCCTTCTTTCTATTTAAAGTTAAATTAGGCACACTAATATAACTCTCTTTAACCAGGTGCTTTATACACATGAGTCGATTCCTCTTCAAAAAAGTACTTCTGGTCTAACTGAGCGTCTATTCTTAGGGTGACTTGATTGTATTTAATTAATTCTGCTTTATTTCATCTGATAAACTCTTCGTATACATCCAACTAGCACATAGAGTTTATGGCAGTGATTCCTTGCAATAATCTCAGTAACGATTGATTAAACGGTACGATGATACTACGAGTAATCTGGTGAATGCTAATATGTTTGATCAACTGTGCCAATGCTAACGCCAATAATAATGGGGCATTGCAGTAACTTGCTGCATGTGCATACACGAGACATTAATAAATTTTCCTGTCTAAAATCACAAACTATATGTTTTAAAAGTCAAGTCATATTTCTACTGAAATAATAAAAAATTACAGTCACGGACTAGTGACCTGTGACAACAATAAGATGTCGAGTTTAATCAAAGAGGTTTCAGTACAGTGAAAATTATCTGAAAGTTCAATACGAATGTCTCTATTTGGTGGGACAGTGAGATCTCAAGGAGAATAATGTTCGTAAAGTAAGATTTGATGGCTTTATTGAATAAATAATGCTGAAAAAAATAGAGGTAACTTACTTTCGAATAACATGCAAATTGCCAACTCGGCTTTGACAAGGAAGCGAATCGAATAGTAAAACACATGGCCTATTCAGGGTTTTTTCAAAATAATGGGATTTAGTAACAGTTACAAAGAACAAATAAAGCTAACTAAGCAGAATATATACATGTGACAGTGATTATAAAGTCTCTAAAATATCAAGTTATTTACTTGCCACAGGGTTATATTTTGGACCAACTGATAAACATATTGAGGTACGAGTTAACGTCAAGTATATGGTAGTAGAAACACAGTATACAACTGTGAACCGAAAAATTTTTCGTACAGAAACAAGAATATGAACTCTATGTAACTAACAATACAAGTTAAATAGAAAAAGGAGTTGCTTAATTTTCACATAGTAGTTCGACTGAACAGACTGAGTCAGTCCGTCAGTTACAACGTAGAACTTCGTACGTACGTACATCAGTCCGAGTTGCCTTACCACATTAGCACAGAGATGCAGTTGTCGACTCAAATCCCTTAGTGGTAGAGGTAGTAAGAGTATAAGCAGTAATCGGAAACATTAGGGTTTGAAGTTTTTATTTGAGGAGTATAATCCAGTGAAATGAATTTGGAAAGAGAAAAAAAAGGGACATGGAGAAATCAGGAGATTAGAATTTGGGAGAACACAAAGAGTGGATGCACCTGCGCCATTACAAACGATTTTGAGCCATGTCATTCAAGGTCTTAAACCATCGGTTTCTATCGTCTCGCGGATACCAACCAGGTAGTCTACATCTACCAACATGACCCAGTCCACTTGTCAGTGACTTCATGGACTTGTGCCATGTTTTGGTCTGGCCAGCCCTAGCTTTCTTCCAACCTACTCCTACACCAGAAAACATCGCACGTCGGTGGTTGTGCATACGTAACACATATCCCAGCCATCTCAACTGATGAAGTTTTCCTACTTCCTCAACTGATTTGTCATTCTTACCTAGTACCCGTTTCCTAGCAACTGAGTTACTTACTCGGTGGTTCCAGAATATACGAGCAATGTTTTGAAGACACCTATGATCGAATGCTAGTAACCTACGAATATCCTCTAATCTTATCGGTCATGTTTCACTGCCATAAAGTAGGACGGAACGAACTGCTGCGCAGTATACACGTCCTTTGGTTGATAGACGGAACAGACTGAGTAATAATTCCGCACATGCAAACTAGACTTATGTTCTAGTAAGTAGATTTGGGAATATTGATTTCTCCTGTGGAGTAACAAAAACAACTTACATTGCATTAACACCACGTTGACGAAGCCAGGCTAAACGTCTTCGCCGCCACCGATCAAATGCTTCACCCTAGAATGGAAGAATAGGTCCCGTGTTGACAATCAATAATTGAAATAATAATTTATTTATGTAGTGAACACTAACCGTGCATAGCCGACCCCAGAAAAAAGGTGGAAAACCGTTCGGTCTAAAAGGTGTGTTTGCGTGAGGCTAGTAAGTGGGTAACAGTCGTGATTGAAATTTGTGGGTTTCTGATATAATGGCGGAATAAAAATATTTTCCATTTCCATGATATACCACTATAATATGATAATAAGATCGGTGACTGAGACTATACTACCACTAGATTGGATACTCGATCGATACGCTACACACAAACTGGGATAACGTCATATTTGTTGGGTCGGCTTCCGGAAAACTTCAACGGAGCCTCCAGAGGCCCACAAGGAGCCGAAGAGTCCTGGCCAGTCAGAGTGTGATGGAACGTTCTAGAATTCCAACGTGGCGTGCTACTATTGGTCGGTAGCATAATGTGTTGTTATCGGATTGGCTGTAAAATGATGTTGATTTAACAGACGCCAAAATCTATAAATACCCATGATTTTCTGTACAAAAATGAACCTTGCAATAAAGTGCTTTCTCTCATTCTTGTGTCTTCTCTCTGGAGTTCAAGTCGCTGTGCAGTTCTAGACTGCGGGTTATCGGAATAGCTTAGGAATCGTATATAGCGTTCAACCTACACGACTCATCAATATTAAATACACGAATCATAACTAAATATAGAGAACCAGAGTGTAGACTAAACAATACTTTGTTTGACACAATTACACACAGCATGGAATCGGTGAGTTTAGAGTAGAAGTCAATAACAGGAGGGAAATCACACATTTAATGGTAAGTTGAGTATTTTTCAGTCCACACTCAGTGGGCAGTCACATCTTGCTTTCACTAGCTTACGTCAGTTCCTTAACACTCAAATCCTTATACAACAACAGTTTATTAGATACAAGGTAAGGACAATCACGCCGTAATGTTTCTCAAGGCTTGTCTCCAGAAAAGTCACTTCTAGTTCAAAGTATTAGATGACAAAATCTGGGAAATTATGAATGGGAATTCAAAGCGTGGGAAAAATATATTTATGCCAGATAAAGTTGTAACATAATAAACGTTGGAACAGGGAAATTATCAGAATCGAGGATCTGTTTAAACTATATAAACACACAACTGGAATTAAATAGTTAATTAAATAGGTTTATAGCTAAGTGGCTTGAGTCGTTATAGAAACCTAAAAATACCAAAAATACTAAATGTACAATTATTTATACAAGCATTGAGGGAAAGTACAAGACATTTTTTATCAGTACTACACTCACCATTCATTGCTTATTAGTCATATAAATGACTGGCTAATTTGCTGTTACTATTCGTCATTCGACACTCACTTATCACTATCAATTCCATACAAATTACCCCTGATAGTTACATCGTAACAGAAATTCTGTTTGGAAAAATGAACAGATAGTACTATTCTATGGTAGCAATGATTATGATTTGTAGTCATACTTTCTGCACTTGTTAACTTTATTGAATGACTATCGTAGTAGTTCAAACAAGAAGTACAAAGATTACTCATCACCAATGTATGATTGCACATATTGTGACAAATCAAACTGGTAATGAGTGTTTGCTTTTCTGGCACCGATTGATTATTCGTTGTCGGCAGTTTTCTTTTGGTGTTGGACAATAAATTTTTGTAAAGTAGTCTGGCCGTTTGTTGTGCTTCAATAATGAATCGGATTTTATTCAATTTTCTGACTCTGTGAATTGAGACAGTTATATTAATCGTTACGTCTATATTTTGCAAAAACATCAACACAGTAGTCCGTGCATCTATTTATTCCTCTGTATATGTTTTCAGAAATAGATATATGTCGAAGTAACTCTTTTTAACACGTAATAAAACCATGGACTGTGTCCAGAAGTATCATTTGTTCAACTGTCTTGTTTTTAATGTGCGGTCCCGTAACCAGATGTTACATTAAAACACTACTGAATTAATATCTATGGGACAATTAGTAATTGCAAAGAAAATACTATTATTCTGTTTCAGATGCAACACTGATGACAGATCAGGTCTTTCCTTGCATGCTCAGATACAATATCAGCTAACAATGTTAACACCACCTAAAAGGTATATAAAGCAAGGTATTGTAGATCACTAAAGTAGATGATCTATATCGAATGATTGGCAGCCAGCTCGAGCCGGACTAGCCGGCTAACCGCATGGACCAGTCGATGGCGTGCAATTAACTGATGCGCGTTAGTTGTCGTTGGTTTTGACGAAGATCGGTGAACTGTTCGATATTCAGTGACCCAACTGCCGGATGATTTGGCTATGACTCAGTGACATTTCACTGGCCCTACAGTATCTTCCGTACAAGAGTGAATTATTAAGATGTTTTCGTCAGACAAGGTAAACGACACTGTTATTAGAAAAGGAAATTAATTATCGGCGAGATACAAAAATTAAGTAGTCATCAATTAGTACTGATACTAACAACGAATAACTTATGGATGTACTGGCAAATATGAATTGTGGAAACATGCTTCAAGCTTAATCGACTGACCGTCTGTAATACGAAGATCTCTGGAGATGGGGAACATTGTATAAGAGTGAGTTCTTGTAGAATCAACTTGACTTACAATGTAGATGAACACTTCTCGGCTAACATATGAAGAAAACTCTACGTTGTTAAGGGGTTAACAAGCAAGATATACTGCTCCAACCACTAAGATTCAGTGTTCAGATGTAAAATACTGCGCCTCAGTAGAGAGGAGTGACTGCCATCATTAGGATCATTCTTTTCACTCGAAAATTACTAAGGCTCGAACACTTATTACACATAGCTATCATCATTAACACAGATAATATATATATATATATATATATATATATATATATATATATATATATATATATATATATATATATATAAGCATTTTGTGACACAAAGACTAGCTTCAAGGGAGCTGCTGTTATTCTCCGGCCATGAAGAAGAAAATGCTCCACATACACAAGGAGTTGCACTAGTACTATACAAACAAGCGCAAAAAGCACTTATAGGATGGGAATCTCATGGACCCAGGACCATCAAAGCCTCCTTCAAAACAACGAAAGAAGGCATTACAATGAACGTCATCCAATGCTATGTGCCTACCAACGAGTGCAATGAAGACGTTAAAGATCAACTCTACGATAGGCTGCAGTCAATCGTTGGGAAATGCCCAGCAAAGGACTTGACCGTTCTCATGGGGGACCTAAATGCCAAGGTTCGAATGGACAACACCGGATATGAAGACATCATATAACGACACGGACTAGAAGAAAGGAACGAAAATGGTGAGGGATTTGCGAACCCATGTGCCTTCAATAAACTGGTCGCAGGGGGCACCATATTCCCACATAAACGCATATACAAAGCCACATGGATTGCACTGGATCATACTACACAGAACTAATTCGACCATATCTGCATCAACGAAAAGTTCAGGAGGACGATGGAAGATTTGAGAATCAAGAAAGGAGCTGATATAGCCTCAGATTATCACTTGCTGGTCTCCAAGATGAAACTGAAACTCAAGAAGAACTGAAGAACGGGGCACACAACATCACAAAAGTTCAATACACCCATTCTTCGGGATACTGACAAACTCAACGAATTCAAGATAGCCCTTAGCAATAGGTCTCAGGCCTTTCACGATCTACTCAATGGAGAGGGAATGTATGTCCTATCCACCTCCAACGTCTTCTCCTGATTTCTTCTTCAGCTCGAAGCTGGTTTGATCTCTCCCATAGTAGGTCGTTGTTGATGGTATCCGACCTACTGACATTGAGTATCTTGTGTAGACCATAGGATACCCACCAGCCTCCTCCATCGAACTCCGTCCCGGGAAATCCTTTCCAGTTGCTGTTCATCCTCTTCATATCTCCTTACAATTCTCGACACAATGTGTCTTTTGGTCTTCCTATTCCCCGTTTCCCTTCAGGCTATCGAGTTATCACTTGCCTCGTGATGTGGTTTATTGATTTCCATAATGTATGTCCTATCCACCTCCAACGTCTTCTCCTGATTTCCTCTTCAGCTCGAAGCTGCTTTGATCTCTCCCATAGTAGGTCGTTGTTGATGGTATCCGACCTACTGACATTGAGTATCTTGTGTAGACAATTGTTTATAAATACTTGTACCTTTTTGATAATGGTTGTGGTAGTCCTCGGAGTTTCAGCCCCGTACAGTAGGACTGTCTTAGCGTTCGTATTGAAGATTCTCACTTTGATGTTGTCTGACTGTTGTTTCGAGTCCCATATGTTCTTCAATTGTAGGAATGCAGTCCCTACTTTGCCGATCCTCGCATTTACATCTGCATCAGATCCTCCTTGTTCATCGATGATGCTGTCCAGGTACGTAAATGTTTCCACATCTTCCAGAGCTTCTCCATCTAGTGTGATTGGGTTGGTGTACTCCGTGTTGTAATTGAGGATCTTGCATTTTTCCTTGTGTATGTTGAGGTCTGCTGATCCAGAGGCTTCTTCCAGTGGTTCAATTGATCTGCATTTGTTGGTGGGAGAGAGTAAGCAGTCCCATCTGACACCGGTCCTCACTTGAAGTGCGTCTGTGCGCTGTCCACCATGCAAGACTCTGCAGTGTAGACCGTTCTAAGAACTCCGAATGATGTTGACGTTCTTCTCAGGTACATCATAGTGTCGAACACGATTCCACCAGGTTAGCCTATCCACACTGTCGAATGCTTTCTCACAGTCAATGAAGTTGATGTACAATGACGAGTTCCATTCGATTGATTGTTCAACGATGATCCGTAACGTCGTAATTTGGTCTGTGCACGACCGATCCTTACGACATCCGGCTTGTTGATCTCGAAGCCGGACGTTACTGAATCCTTCATCCGGTTCAGTAACACTCTTTTGATAACTTTTCCTGGCATCGATAGTATTGTGGTGCCCCTGTAGTTCTCATACTTGCTCAGACCTCCATTCTTTGTTGTATTGATGAGGTGTCCTTCTTTCCAGTCCGTCGGTGGCACTTGTTTTTCATCCAAATCTTCCTGACTAGAACGTGGAGCATGTTTGCGGCTACATCTGTCTGATTTCAGTGCTTCGGCTGGTATATTGTCATGTCCTACTGCTTTCCCACTCTTGAGTTATCTGTCCTTGGATCTCAGTGATTGGATTGCCTTCTTTGTCCTTGACTGACCTCTCAGGTTTATTATATTCCCCTGCCAGTTTCTTCGTTACGTCACATAGTTGTTTGATATTTCCCTCTCTCGCAGCTTTCTCCGCTGTCGTTGCTAGTTCTTACACGTGTTTCTACTTGTCGGCTCTAATGCTCCTCTTCACTTGCTTGTTTGCTTCTGTGTGTTCGGCTTGTGCCTTGACTTTCCCTGTCCTCGTTCGGCTGTTGTTAATTGTTGTCTTCTTGTTCTTCCTTTCTTGAATCTTGTCCAGGGTTTCCATAGAGATCCATTCGTTATGATGATGCTTCTTGCGACCCAGCACCTCTGACACGTTGAAGTTAATAATTCTTTGATCCCTTTCCAGTTGTCCTCCATAGTGGTTTCTTCTTCTTTGAGTAGATCGTGCAAAGCTTGGAACTTGTTGTTGAGATTTATCTTGAATTGGTTGGTTTATTTAGTATCTCAAAGGAAGGCTGTATTGGACTTTTGTAATGCTGTTCCCCCAGTTGCCCAGTACTACTTTAGCTTCAATTTCATCTCGGTCACAACCAGATGGTAGTGATGCGGAGCTATGTCAACTCCTCTCCTGGTTTTCACATCTTCCATCGACCTTCTGAATTTTTCAGTGATACAGATATGATCGATTTGATTCTCTGTAATGTGGTCAGGTGAAACCCATGTAGCTTTGTGTATACGTTTGTGGGGGAATATAAGGCCACCTATAACCACTTTGTTGAACGCACATGAATTTGCGAATCTGTCACCATTCCCGTTCCTTTCTCCCTGTCAGTCCGTGTCGTCCTATGATATCTTCATACCCAGTGTTGTCCATTCCAACCTTGACGTTTAGGTCTCCCATCAGGATGGTGAGAGCCTTTCTTGGGCACTTTGCTATGATTGATTGCAGCCGCTCATAGAACTGACCTTTACTGTCATTGTTACTATCATTGGTAGGTGCATAACATAAATAACATAAATTATGACGCCTCATGGTGAAAGCCGAGATTCTTCGTAAGTCACGAGGCTGATGCCTTTTCTAAGAACCAGAGCAACAATTTTTATAGGTACATGTAAAACTTGGCATGAATATATTTTAACAAAACAGATGCAAAGCTCTCAAATTTGAATTTTAAAAGTTTCGAGCAATTGTATAAATATTAAGATTTTCTGATTGATTACTTACTGGAGTGTCGGTAGGCAACCTTTGAATAACTTCTTCACCAATATCTAGGGAATTTAAATCGTCGCCTGAGAAGTTGATGCGATCGACATTAGTAAATTTTTCTGTCAACTGGCAGAGATGATAGACTTCTTCACGATAGAGAGCCGTGTAACTGACCATTCCCGCCATCCATGGATAGCAGACAAGACCAAGAAACCAATGTGCACTGAAAGAGTTTTAACAATGACGACCAATCAATCTGAATATACAGAATGTCATGCGGTTTATAAAAGGTAAACAATCAGAATCAGTGACGGTGGATTAATTTAAATACTAAAGAACAATAAACAATTGTAGTAGTGACTAAGTGAACAAATGTAACTAGAACTATATTTTTAGTATAACCCATCTACCAAGTTTAATTTAATGTACTTGGTTTCCGTCAGTATTTCTAGCGTAAGAGTTCATGATGCGACTCGCCTAAACAAATCGACGTAGATGAAGGAATATTCAAACTTTTAAATAAATAATTAAACAATCATCTGATTACTTATTTAAAAATAAACTGACAGTAGTACATACCAGTATCAACATAAATGACTTTCGGAAACATTAAACATCCAGTCTAGAAATTCAACAAAGAAAACGGCGTCGAACCTATTTTAAGTTTAATCATTCAGAAGAAATACTGTGGTCATATTACTCGGGACTTCGTTGGACGAATTGTGTTATGTCGTGGGGCAAGCACTCAGTGGTTAAGGAATACATTTTTAAAATCACACTTTAGATTTGTTGTGTGTTTCGTTAACTTTGATTCGCTCAACTGCATATTATCCTCAACTTTCTTACCAAATAAAGTGAACACAAAATCCAAGTACATAAACCTGTACTCGATAAATGAGTTATATTATTCTGGATTATGATATATTTTAGGTTTCTTTAAAGGCAACATGTTGTTTTACGGAATTACTATTCTGTGAGTTGTTACAATATTATATGTTGACAATTCCACAAAATGTAATTATATGTCGTACTGAACAGACTTCTATTATTAGTCTCAACATATGTAGACAAATATTTTCTACGACAAAGGTGTTCATTGGGGGGGGGATTTTCCGTCGAAATGAACAAACCGTTTGATGCGTCCAACCACATAATAATTCTGACTAATGGAAAAACAAGTTTTCTGATTGTTTATCGTAACAATTCTACCAAGTTAATGGAAGTTGATTGACTGTTCAATATTGTTTTGTAAAATAGTAGAGTAGGTGAATGACCTTATCAACACAGTTAAAACTAACACTGAAATACGAGGTTCATGAGTGGTTATACCAAAGTTTTTCATGTAAGTGGTCCATTTTTTGCGTGGTCAGTACTGCGAATAGCAGTACTCTTTGAGACCTAGACATTTTCGAATGGATTCTGAGTACACTACTGAGGATTGTGACAACACTATATTTAAAAATTTGAAAAATGTTCAATGGTAAACCAAATAATCCTAAAAATTCAACTAGCTTAACATAATTCAATCCATGTTTAAAAAAATAAATTTTTCAGACCTACCATTCGTTAATTGGAATAATAATATAATCTTTACTGAAAAGATCGACTCGACGTGTCCATTTCGCAACATTAGCATGCTGAGCAAAAATTGTTCTATGAAAACAACATGAATTGGAAATGGAAGAATGAGTTGTATTCTAATCACTTTTGTGACATGTTTGGTATCTTTCGAATTGGTGAAATCAATAGTTATTGCTGTTCGTGAGTTTTAGAAGTATTTTTCATGCATTCACCACCTTATTTTTAGGGTATATTAGTGATTGGACAAGTCCACCTTGTTTTTCGTATAGTCTGATAAGAAACAACAAGGAAATGTCATGGATATATGGAAAATTAATTTGTCATACAGCCTACAATTTGCTAATAACCGTATGGAGATATTTCTACATCATGAATACTGTTTTAATGCGTTATGAGCTTCTCAGATATGCTAAACATCACCAATGGGATTTCTTGCTGTTATAGTTAGTGCTGATAGTTGTAAAATGTCACGAGACAAAATCAAGGATAAGCATTCAGTAATTGAAAAAAACACATGATCAATATGTTTTTTAATGTGGTGGCTGGCAGCCGTATTCACTGAGTAATTAGAATTCGGTGAAGTGGAATTTATAAAAATAAAACGGTTAACCTGGAACTCGTGAGGCAGTAACAAATAAAAAGTCGATAGATGGAACGTGTAACAATTCATGAGGTTGGGCCATGTTATGCAAATCCTACCACTAACTACTCATAAGAGTTATATTCTGGTTAACATAGAATTAGGTTAGAAGGCTAAAGGCGGCCAAGTGAAGACATGGCATGAGTTCATGGAGTCACTGACAACCAGTCTGAGCTAGGTGAGTTAAGGCAAGGTTCACAACTGTTTCCAGTCACAATAGTCGTAATCCGTGGTTTGGTGACAAGGGTCAAAATCGATCCCATTGAAGCAATCAAACTGATTATTTATATTTCTGTAAATGTTGAGCTCATTATCATTCCGCACAGTTTATTCTTCGGTTTCACATGTACTTTTTAATATTTAACTCTTGGTTAGATTTTCACCAGTTTTCCCGCTTCCCGTGTTTTAACTTGTTCTCTCGGTGTGATAATGTAAGACATGACAATCCGATCCCATACATAATTGTTATAGATCTCAAAGTTGCCAAAGACTGACTGAGAACAACAAAGTATGATGGATTTAATGAGGTGTTTACTCCAATAAAAAGTGATTACAGGCTTTGCCAGTAGAAAACCAGAGGAGAGGAAAGTTTATTGGAAAATGAATATTATTTGTATAGAGATATAGTAAGATCTTAAGGCACTCGCAATTTTAACCGGAAGACTCCTTAGGAGGGACAATCGTTTTTCTTTTGGAACTTATTAAACTATTGATTAGAGCACTTCAATACTCACAACTCATTAGATCCCGAAATCAGTATATCACTTCATATCTGTTGTCAGTATTTAATCGACTAGCTTGAAATGCTGATTTAGACTTCATCTTGTTGATACGCAGTATTTTTAATGAATATTGCATCTGCTTATATTTTGTGTATAATCTTGTAACTATCTTCATTCCTCCATACAAGATCGTTATTCTGTTAAGATCCTGATTAGCAATAAACGACTTTGATTTTATTATGGATACAGTAACCTTCTATGCTGATATAAATAAATCATTTCAAGTATGCTTGGAACAACTTAATTAACCGGATACGGCCTGATATATACAGTTTAAAATTAAGGTCTTTTTATTTAATATAATAATGAATTGAAAGGCATTTATTTATTTGAACACATAAATTAGTACAAGGGGGAACCAAATATATGTGTGCCACACAATAACAATGAGGTTATGAAAGGGTAAGGAATGTAGGGTGAGTATAATTAAAGAAGACCAACAATGAACGGAAATTAGTGTGTGAGAGTGAAATAATAATGGGAGAAACAGTTCAGTCAACGAAAATACAACTAGAAAAAATTCTTTCTACAAGGAATGAATCACTGTAGATATACTGAGTAAGTTCCAAGAAATGAGGAACAAGAAGTCAGCAATCAATATCAGCTGGACAATAGCAGAGAAAATCAAGTCACAACCTAAATACACAGAAGCAAACAAGCAAGTGGAGAGGAGCATCAGAACCTACAAACGTAACTATGTAGAAGATTTAGCACTGACGGCGGAGAAGGCTGCAATAGAAGGAATCATGAAACGACTGTGTGGTACAACAAAGAAGCTCGCTGGAATTTACCGTAAACCGGAACGACCAGTGAAAAGTAAGGAAGGCAAAGCAATCACCAACAGTGAAGACCAGCAAAACAGGTGTGAGAACAAGTGTTAGAACTAAAGAGTCATTTCTCTTATCTCATTACCAGCAAAAGTCTTCATTAGGGTAATTTTAAATAGAATGAAGGACTCCGTAGACGCCTAGCTTCGAGACAGACAGGCTGGATTTCATAAGGATCGATCGTGTACCGACCAAATTGCAACACCATGGATCATTGTGGAACAATCATTTGGATGGAATTCATCACTCTACATCAACTTCATTGACTATGAGAAAGCATTTGACAGCGTAGGTAGGGCAACACTTTGGAGAGTTCTTCAACACTACGGAGTATCTGCGAAGATAGTCAATATCATACGGAATTCTTATGATGGGTTGAACTGCAAAATCGCGCATAGAGGACAGCTCACAGACTCGTTCGAAGTACAGGCCGATGTCAGGCAGGGTTGATCACTCTCACCCTTTCTCTTTCTCCTGGTGATCGACTAGATTATGAAGACGTCAACATCTGGGGGGGGAAGCAAGGGATACAGTGGACAGCTGCGATGCAGGCGGACGATCTAGATTTCAAAGATGATCTGGCTCTTCTATCACAAACGCAACAACAATTGCATGAGAAGACGACCAGTGTAGCAGCAGGTTTCAACATAAACAAGGGGGGAAGCAAGATTCTCTGACACAGCATAACGTGCACCAGTCGAATCACACTTGACGGAGATTTGGAGGATGTAAACACCTTTACATACCTGGGCAGCATTATCGATGAGCACGGTGGATCTGATGCATATATGAGGGCACGGATCGGCAAAGCAAGAGCAGCATATCTACAACTGAAGAAAATCTGGAACTCAAAACAACTTTCAATCAAAATCAAAGTCAGAAATTTCAACACAAATGTCAAAACATTTCTACCGTATGAGGCGGAAACACGGAGAACTGCGAAAGCTGTCATCCAGAAGACATAAGTGTTTACTGATAGTTGTCTACGCAAAATACTCCGGATCAGTTGGTCAGACACCAAACGCAATGACCTACTGAGGAAGAGAGGAAACCAGACTCCAACGGAAAAAGAAATCAGGAAGAAGCGCTGGAAGTGGATAGGACACACATTGAGGAAAGCACCCAACTGTGTCACATGACGAACCCTCATTTGGAAACCTCAATGCCAAATGAGAAGAGGAAGACCGACAACCACATTACGCCGAGAAACGGAGTCAGAACTAGAAGGGAAGGCCCAGGACAGAGTGAGTTGGAGAATGTTGGTCAGTGGCCTATGCCCCATCGGGGGTAATAGGCGTAAGTACGATATTTGTTAAATGAACGATTAGTAAGAGTAAGTGATCGCAAGTTATTCCTGACTTACCTGTTCTAAAACATGTATGTATTATGTTTATGTGCGTTTTCAGAAATTGTTCTATCTCCGAAATACATGAAAATGTATTACATTGTGTTGACAATTATTTACAATATGAACATAAACTTCCTATTGAGTGCAGATGCTGAATATCTAGTTAAGTTTTGTGCGAACATACACTCGTTTTCACTTGATTAGTAAAGAGAATCAACTTCATGAAATCATAAAGAGTCTACTAAAAGTTAAATCACGGTTACTTACGCTGTACAGCGTGTATATATGAGAAACTGAAAAAATGTATGTTAGAGTGCACAATTCTTTTTTTCTGTGACTGATCTATATTGTGTGACGCCTTGTATTAAGAAGCCGTTGTTTTTAAGTCTAACACTTGACTGAGAAGTCTCGTAAATACCAATAATAAAGTAGGCACCTTAACTTAATTCAGGTTATTTCAAACATTTGCGACCTGTCTGTGGTAATCAGTCAAATTTCATTTCTTCCAAGCGTCAATGTCGATGTGGTCAATAATCTTAATCAGAAATCATATATTTCAATAAGTTTTCTGAGACGCTTTATGGTAGTACTTAGTTCTGCTAATGGTTATATTTTCAAGAACATCGGTAACCTGAAAACTGAAATTTCACAGAAGTAGTAGTACTGAGATTTTTGCTTAATCCCTGATGAAAGCTACACATAACTGTACTTTTTATATGTGAGTCTGATTTGATCCCTGGAATATGATAATTTGGTGGCTATTTATCCAACCATACAAGATAATATTTACAGACCAGTAGTAGTTATTATAGACTGAAGCAGACGCATAACGATTACAACCCTGATGAAAGCTAATATCTTTGCCATTATCCTAGTCCTAGCATAAAAGAAGAATAAAACAGTAACCAACGGATGAAATCGCAGTAAAGAAGACAAAAACGTAATACCTTGTAATGGTATCGTTAATTTTTGCGTAGTTACAATAGATTTGACGATAATACAGTTTTTATGTGCTTTATTCATATTATTTCATAAAATGCTAAGTCATTAGTCTAATTTCAGTGTATGGCCGAGTATTAATTGATACCTGCCCACTATGTGATTGACTGAAAACTGTTCTAGGAGCACATGGATAATGGATTCTCAAGGATTTCGAGATGTCATGTACTGCAAAGTGGAAAATACCTATCAACCTAGATTTGAAACCAAAATGTGGCTTCGCAAATAAATTCAGAACAACTTTTAACTTTTGTCAGTGCACAAAATTGAAATAAAAAGTAACACAAAGAAGTGTCACGATGACACAGGGTCGTTGCCATTTAGCAACGAGACCTTATGCCAAATTGTCGTCAAATGTCGCCACAAATACAAACAAAAAGACAGCAGACTTGTACTGAAGTTATTCCACCTATTGTCTCTATTCTGTAACATAGAAACGTTATAAAACTTTTCCGATTATACTATTAGCTAGGTGTGTAGAAGTATTTTCAAAGCAATTTTCAATCTAAGCCTTGAAATGATTGATTTTTACGGTTTTGGACCTACATTCTCGGCTAGATTCCCCGAAAAACTTACCAAGCTAGCTTTTACTGGGTCTTTCGTTAATAACAATCAGTAGATCAATTGTAACTTGAAAAAGATGAATGGTCTGGTTCATATTTTGGTTCTGATCTGAAGGCAGTTTGTCAAGCTACAAACATATATTTATCTCAGTTGATTTTATGACG